CATTCAGGGTGAAAGAAACTTTGCCCATTTGTTTCTGCCTCGTGCGGGAATCGAACCCGCGCCACAGAGTTACGAGTCCTGCGTGCTATCCACCAGGCTACGAGGCCCTCACAAGACAAGACATATAAAACAAGATACCACGAAAAATCTCATGACTTCTAACTATACTTAGATAACTGCAGCTACGTAAAAAAAGAAAATAAACATAACACTAGTGATAAAGAAAATGATACTAATTATGAAAACAACAATAATAAGGAGAAAATCTATAGGAGCCGTGCAAAGGGTTCGAACCTATCCGGTGGGTATTCCCACACACACGCCCTAGTCAACCAGGCCACGACATGGTATAAGGATTGCAACCAGGTGTTCTTCCGAATACACAAGGATTTCCTGAGGATTTTACTGAAGCCGGAACAGGATTTTCACACAATCCCCCCCCACCCCCTCCCCATGCACTGATGCACTGTCGTCCAGAAATGTCCCGCTTCTGACGCTCCTCTTTCTACACACAGAGAGTAATCAACTAACATGTCCATAGGGAGGATTGTGTGAAAATCCTGTTCTGGCTTCTGTACAAGTCTGACACTGAGCGCGTCACCTTCTAATCAATACTTCATGCCTTCACTTTCCCTTTAAATGCATAAACATGAGCTCACTACAGTGCCGTGCTGCTTGAAGGATGAAGGTAGTAAGTAGGTAATATGTATGATGATGTATGAACACGTACATAAAACTATTCAGAGTAAACGGTATGTTTAGAGTATTATTTCATACCTGATATACCCGGCCAGTAATAATGTCAATCTGAGCTTAAAATTCTATAATCGAATATTTTGTGGATATCATGAAAATTGTATCTTTTTTCAGAAAATAATTATAAATAAATCGTTTCAGATTATGATCGAGTTTTATACTATATATAATTTATTATAAATTTATTTATAAAAAATTTTGGCATTATATACAAAAATAATTTAAGCGTAAACAATTCATAATATTCAACAATTTAATTACAGAAACGCGACTAACAAGAGCTACAGGAATAGATCTTGGTACAGAAGTATGGGATTTGTATGTTTTGAGCCCAGATCAAGATTTTTTCACTAACAAAAACCAGGAATAAACATTTGGGTACTCATCTTCCACCTGTGTCCCCTCGTTCGTATTACTCTCTCCCTAAATAAACCAATAATTCCAATAAAAACTGCAAATGTGGTAATCATGTCTCCCCCCCATCCCCTTAGTCTTCTAATAACCTGAGATTCAGTTCATTAGTTTTTCCTCGTAACTCGCACTCCTCTGTATGAGTTACATCTTTTTGCGATTAACAAAGTAAAAACTCGATGCAGGTGTCGCATATTACAGGATTGGTCTGGCATCTGTTGTCGGTGAGTTCTCACCTAACCTAGTTCACCTAGTTGTGCTTACATGGGCTGAGACTCTGCTCTTTCGCCCTCGCCTTTCGACCATCATTACTTTAATATAGTGACTCATTTCATCCTTTTTTCGTGTTGTATTTGCTTTTAAATCTGTGTATCAAATTGCTTTCGATAGCATTACTCACCCACCACCTAATTGTACTCACCTAATTGTACTTGCAGTGGTTGAGCTCTGGCTCAACCGTCAATCAACTGATGTACAGATTCCTGTGTGTGTGTGTGTGTGTGTGTGTGTGTGTGTGTGTGTGTGTGTGTGTGTGTGTGTGTGTGTGTGTGTGTGTGTGTGTGTGTGTGTGTGTGTGTATGCGCGCGCGCGCAATGCAAGAATTGGTCAAACAAACCGAGCTTTTATATAATTGGTATCATATAACATTTTAAATAATGAATTTATATACTTATTCATTGTAATCAAAATTATGTAATGACTTTTAAATTTAATGCCAAAAAATAATTTAATGACCCACTAATAATAATAAAATTCACATAACCAACTTTTTTGATAAACAGTTGGAAACACATGTAAATTTCTGAAAATATTTGTCAGTATTACAGGCAATAAATAAAATATGATTTAAGTTGTTGCTGTCTGGTAAAATGGCTCTATAAAATTAATTCAAATTGGCCATAACCGAGTAAAACAAATACAATAAGTTTAACTACAATGAAAATTGTTAATAAACTGCTTGATTACATGTATTTCTTTTTACCCGGCCCCGTCGACAGCCACAACGATGCGAGGCCTTTGTTAACCACTTGTGGCTGAAGAGGCGAGAAGTACGTGGGTGCTGGAGAAGAAGAATGATATGTGACTATGGATGGGAATTAATTTCCAGGTTCCGCTATTTAATACTGATCCTGAACTCGAGGTGGAGGGCGAGTGAGTCACGTATGTTGGTTAATAACACAAAGTTGATTCCAATTATGTCGCGAGTGTTCGTATATTTCAGCACATTGCAATCGGCTTGTGAAAACTGATATCATGTCATTTATTGCTATTCTTTTCCCAAAAAAATTTAACCTGAATTATTAGCGAAAAATAATTCTTCTTTTTATCGTGTTATCTTAAAGTAATAAAGAAATAAATTAACATATGATAAAACCTGAGACGACAATTTCGACACTATCGAACACAGATTTCCAAATTCAGACGTTCTAGCGATATAAAAATAAGCAATAGTGACGCAACCACAGACAAAAACCCAACGGCTTCGACAGGCTGAAGAGGATTGACTAGGCTCGTACGCTTTTGGTGAGGGGGAAACCGCTTAAAATCTGACGCTTATCAAATCTAGAGAGCGAGCTGGTGTTACAAGCCCTGGGAATACTGGCACTCATCTTCCTGAGAGAAAAGTTGGAAGTGGTAAAAGTTTTTAAACGAGGAAAGTTCGATGTGCGCGGTTTAAGCGAGAGTTAGATAATAGGAAATGATAATGAAGAGAGGATTGGAGAATTTTTTTTTATACGAACAAGTGTGAAAGTGATTGAAACCAATATGTAATGAGAGTTTATGCTAATGAAAGGAGAGTGGGTAAGAGGCAATGCATAACTTGTTACTGCTGTTATTGGTACTTGAACGTGACTCCTATTGGTTGAGCGAACGTGCTGATGGCTATTACAATGGCACCCGCTATTACAATGACTATTACAATGGCAGCCGCTATTACAATGGCACCCGCTATTACAATGACTATTACAATGGCAGCCGCTATTACAATGGCACCCGCTATTACAATGACTATTACAATGGCAGCCGCTATTACAATGGCACCCGCTATTACAATGACTATTACAATGGCAGCCGCTATTACAATGGCACCCGCTATTACAATGACTATTACAATGGCAGCCGCTATTACAATGGCACCCGCTATTACAATGACTATTACAATGGCAGCCGCTATTACAATGGCACCCGCTATTACAATGACTATTACAATGGCAGCCGCTATTACAATGGCACCCGCTATTACAATGGCACCCGCTATCACAATGGCACCCGCTATTACAGTGGCACCCGCTATTACAGTGGCACCCGCTATTACAATGGCAGCCGCTATCACGATGGCACCCGCTATTACAATGGCAGCCGCTATCACAATGGCACCCGCTATTACAATGGCACCCGCTATTGCAATGGCAGCCGCTATCACAATGGCACCCGCTATTACAATGGCACCCGCTATTACAATGGCAGCCGCTATCACAATGGCACCCGCTATTACAATGGCACCCGCTATTACAATGGCACCCGCTATTACAGTGGCACCCGCTATTACAGTGGCACCCGCTATTACAGTGGCTATTATAATTGACACCTGAAGTGTCAAACTAACATAGTTGTTTACGGGGTGAGCAGTTTACAGATGTAAATTATACTAGTAGTTAAAATAGCTATAATCGATGATCTGAATGATACCAGAAGGTAGAAAATAAATACAATGGGTGATCTGAATGATTCCAAGAGTTACTTTACAGCTGTAATGGGTGATCTGAATGATTCCAAGAGTTACTTAACAGCTGTAATAGTTGATCTGAATGATTCCAAGAGTTACTTAACAGCTGTAATAGGTGATCTGAATGATTCCAAGAGTTACTTAACAGCTGTAATAGTTGATCTGAATGATTCCAAGAGTTACTTAACAGCTGTAATAGTTGATCTGAATGATTCCAAGAGTTACTTAACAGCTGTAATGGGTGATCTGAATGATTCCAAGAGTTACTTAACAGCTGTAATAGGTGATCTGAATGATTCCAAGAGTTACTTAACAGCTGTAATGGGTGATCTGAATGATTCCAAGAGTTACTTAACAGCTGTAATAGTTGATCTGAATGATTCCAAGAGTTACTTAACAGCTGTAATAGGTGATCTGAATGATTCCAAGAGTTACTTAACAGCTGTAATAGGTGATCTGAATGATTCCAAGAGTTACTTAACAGCTGTAATAGTTGATCTGAATGATTCCAAGAGTTACTTAACAGCTGTAATAGTTGATCTGAATGATTCCAAGAGTTACTTAACAGCTGTAATAGTTGATCTGAATGATTCCAAGAGTTACTTTACAGCTGTAATAGGTGATCTGAATGATTCCAAGAGTTACTTAACAGCTGTAATAGGTGATCTGAATGATTCCAAGAGTTACTTAACAGCTGTAATAGGTGATCTGAATGATTCCAAGAGTTACTTAACAGCTGTAATAGGTGATCTGAATGATTCCAAGAGTTACTTAACAGCTGTAATAGGTGATCTGAATGATTCCAAGAGTTACTTAACAGCTGTAATAGGTGATCTGAATGATTCCAAGAGTTACTTAACAGCTGTAATAGGTGATCTGAATGATTCCAAGAGTTACTTAACAGCTGTAATGGGTGATCTGAATGGAAGGTGGTAGTAATCCCTAAGAACGACACACTCGGAGTAATAATGTGACAGTTATACATACTATTGGTTGTAGATTCAACATTTTATGCAATGAATAAAATGCACATTTACAAAATAAATATTATTAAACAAAAGCATTTTGTGCTTGACGACATAAGGTTATTTTTCCATAAGTTGCATACAGATGCTATTTTTTATTATCTCCTTGACAGTCTTTTGTGATTGAATATTAAACAATGGCTATTTACTGGAGGGTGTTATAATGTATGCTGATGAGCAAAGAGTGAGACAGGCCTCAGTCTCACTGTAAGACAGTTTACCAATGTCTAAGTGGCTGCCACTAATGAGTAATATGAACACAATTCTTATCTACGACCCCTGTAGTTGATACATGGTTGATACCTGGTTGATGGGGTTCTGGGAGTTCTCCTACTCCCCAAGCCCGGCCCGAGGCCAGGCTTGACTTGTGAGAGTTTGGTCCACTAGGCTGTTGCTTGGAGTTGTCTCGGAAGTTGAGATTATTTTCTTATTCAACATGGCTGCTTTCTCCCTTATAGAAATGGATGGCGTTCTCCTGCAGGAGGGCGAGGCAGGCGAGGCCGTACCCCAGCAGTAGCAGGTAAAACACTCCCTGAAGATGGTGAATGTTCAGCACCTCTTGGCCCTGAGACCTGCTCTGTGCAAGATTGGATTATCAGTACCAAAAATATGTTAATCAGACCACACACTAGAAGGTGAAGGGACGACGACGTTTCGGTCTGTCCTGGACCATTCTCAAGTCGATTGTCCAGGACGGACCGAAACGTCGTCGTCCCTTCACCTTCTAGTGTGTGATCTGGTCAACATACTTTAGCCACGTTATTGTGACTCCTCGCCACCAAAAATGTATCTAAGAATAGTTTATTCCATGCCAGCTATGGGAGTTACCATTGTAAACATTTGTCTGTTAGTGCACGAAAAAATATATATATATATATATATATATATATATATATATATATATATATATATATATATATATATATATATATATATATGTCGTACCTAGTAGCCAGAACGCACTTCTCAGCCTACTATGCAAGGCCCGATTTGCCTAATAAGCCAAGTTTTCCTGAATTAATATATTTTCTCTAATTTTTTTCTTATGAAATGATAAAGCTACCCATTTCATTATGTATGAGGTCAATTTTTTTATTGGAGTTAAAATTAACGTAGATATATGACCGAACCTAACCAACCCTACCTAACCTAACCTAACCTATCTTTATAGGTTAGGTTCGGTTAGGTAGCCGAAAAAGGTAGGTTAGGTTAGGTTAGGTAGGTTAGGTAGTCGAAAAACAATTAATTCATGAAAACTTGGCTTATTAGGCAAATCGGGCCTTGCATAGTAGGCTGAGAAGTGCGTTCTGGCTACTAGGTACGACATATATATATATATATATATATATATATATATATATATATATATATATATATATATATATATATATATATATATATATATATATATATATATATATATATATATATATATATATATATATATATATATATATATATATATATATATATATATATATATATATATATATATACATGAAATATATGAAAATGAAATGTGTATTACTACGACGGACGAGTTGAATTTAGGCAGGTGTTGGTAGCGCCTCTTGTAGCTGGCGACTGTAGCTGCCATGGACTGTCTCAACCACAGGTCTAGCAGCCCGGTCTCGATCATCTTTTGAGTCATTAAGTCAAAGCGCCGACGGAACGGCGCTCCTCTCCTGCTGGGACGATAGTTCAAAACACCATAAATACAAGAAATACTTGTTAATTGTTACTTAAAAAATCCTAAATTTGATCACTCCCTCTTCCAAATAACGAGGGAGATCCTTCCTTCTTGCAAGACCTCTTCACTGTCTTAAAGGAACCGTGATTTCTTTAATATAAAGTCACTATGGTGAAAATGAAACACACTTTCACCATAGATTATGTCGGCCAGGGGTAATGTTGATATTTTCTCAAGATGGCTACATAATTATGTTCAGCCGGGGGAACTTTTTATATTGATTTAAAATTTCACTAATTGCTACACTAATTATTTCTAAACTAATTTCACTAATGTTCTGAGATCAAGAGTGATGAATGATACATTGAAGCAAAAGTTCCTTATTTCAGCTATGAAAATCATCTTATATATTTTTGTTTAAATATAGTGTACTAACTCGTTTTACTATTTTAAAAGATTTAAACAAAACTTACTCACTTACTTACACTTCTATATGTCATTCTCCCTACACTATTGCCTCAAGACACCAGAGCTACGCAGCCAAACACACAGCAAACATTAGTTCAATTTGGATAATGTAAACAAACATCATATCCGCATTTTTTAACAGTTAGTTCCACGGATGAGTACATTAACCATTTGTGTTCCCATAATTCCCTCCCTCACACGGACCTGAAGCCCCAGGAGTACATTAACCATTTGTGTTGCCATAATTCCCTCCCTCACACGGACCTGAAGCCCCAGGAGTACATTAACCATTTGTGTTGCCATAATTCCCTCCCTCACACGGACCTGAAGCCCCAAGAGTACATTAACCATTTGTGTTGCCATAATTCCCTCCCTCGCACGGACCTGAAGCCCCAGGAGTACATTAACCATTTGTGTTCCCATAATTCACTTCCTCACACGGACCTGAAGCCCCAGGAGTACATTAACCATTTGTGTTGCCATAATTCCCTCCCTCACACGGATCTGAAGCCCCAAGAGTACATTAACCATTTGTGTTGCCATAATTCCCTCCCTCGCACGGACCTGAAGCCCCAGGAGTACATTAACCATTTGTGTTGCCATAATTCCCTCCCTCACACGGACCTGAAGCCCAGGAGTACATTAACCATTTGTGTTGCCATAATTCCCTCCCTCACACGGACCTGAAGCCCAAGGAGTACATTAACCATTTGTGTTCCCATAATTCACTTCCTCACACGGACCTGAAGCCCCAAGAGTACCATAATTCCCTCCCTCACACGGACCTGAAGCCCCAGGAGTACATTAACCATTTGTGTTCCCATAATTCACTTCCTCACACGGACCTGAAGCCCCAGGAGTACATTAACCATTTGTGTTGCCATAATTCCCTCCCTCACACGGACCTGAAGCCCCAGGCGTTGCCAGCAAAAATGGGGTACTTGGTCGTGCTGATGTAGAAGGGAGTGTAACCTTGGGAGTCTGTGTACCGCGAGGCAATCAGGATGGTAGCGATGTTCACGTCGATCATGAGAGAGTGGTGGCCCCTCAGCACATCCCTCATCCCATCCTCTTGTGTTTGTGTCTGAAAATATTGTGATTGTGTCTGAAAATATTTATTATGAGGTGGCAGTATTAATGAGGCAATACTACCGTGAAACATCCTGCGTGATGTTATTAAGAACTTCAGCATTCAAAGATGTTGTTAAGAATAAAATATAAGTATAATTTAAAATATATAATAACAGAATCATAATGATACTAAGTATAATAACAATATAGATATAATTTCAATGTTCAAATTGATAAACTGCTTTGGAGTAATCTGAAGAGATTAGTCTATATATATATCATCATCATTCCTCATCACAATAGCTCTCTCGGGACTCTGAGAAATACAAAGTGTGTATGCTAAGAGTGTAGATAATGCCACTGTGCAATTGAGTTTCTGTCAAGGAAATGCAGGAGAACAAAATACATACTTTAAGTCGTTTATTAACCTCCTTGATAGCATCATCAGGAGACGTATTAAAGTAGATGTTAATAGTGCCAGCGGAGGAGGAGAGCCCCCAGGTCCAGCCGTCCTGGTCCAGCAGGTCCTGGAAGGAATTGATGGCCGGCAGCATGCTTTGAACGGTGAGGTGCGCGACCAGTGAGGAGCTGTAGACTGCTATGATCACCAGGCAGAACACCAGCCACCACCCAACCAGTACCTGTGGTAGTGTATAGTTGTTCATTGTGTAGAAAACCAGGCCACTACCCTACCAGTACCTGTGGTAGTGTATTGTTCATCATGGAGAACACCAGCCACCACCCTACCAGTACCTGTGGTATTGTACTGTTCATCATGCATGGTAGCACCAACTACCACAGGAGCCCCTGTGATACACCAGGGTTCTTGACCATGCAGGACCTCCTCCTTCACAACAAGTGACACTGAACATATGAACACAAAACAGCCACTGGTTGGGACCCCACCTGCCATATATTAGCGTTGAACACCACCACAACATAAAACACAAGTGTTTGCGTTATATTTTTCACCACCAAACTACCCGAATTTACAGCCATAAACCGCCTCTTGACGGTAAACAAACATTAATATCACTAATGGCGATAAAACACCGTTATAACACGAGCATGATTTTGTTTTAACGCCAGCATCACGCTGTAATAAAGAGTAGCTCATACATCATACCATCTAATATTTTTATTAATTATATGACATTTTATCAGGATTATATGAAGCTTTTATGTCACTTATTTTCAACCGGGTTGCAGTTTAAAGCGACATAATCGGTAATTTGCACAATGGCTTATACTTAGAAGAAGGACAATGATATTCATCCAGTAAAAGCTGTTTTCAGACGATTCATTAAAGAGAAATAAACATAGCTAATTACATTTCCATATTGCTTTCAGATAGAGTGGAAGCTTAATATAAGCTCAAGAACCTGCCGGCCAAGAATAATACACGTAGCAATATGTAAGCTGCGAGCTGAACATTGATTAAAAACAAAAGATATATAACACTACGCTACGGCTTTAGAAGGATCACAACCCACACGTTCTGCCGAGTGGCGAAGATTGTAGATGGATTGACCCTGCAGCAAGGTGCCCCAGCTGTACAGGAAGGCATTGCTGAGAGTGATGCTGCTCTGCTCAGACCCCCAGGTCGACCACGCCATCCCCAGCAGCCACAGGGTTAAGGCCCAGCCTGCCACGCTCAACAGGATCGCTAGCCACAGTTCTCCTGGGATGATGGAAATTAAACATCTTTTGCGGAAAACAAACCGTCTCTTATTCTGCATCCAGGTTTTGTTGAGAAAGCACTAAGCCAGTATGACAAGGAGCTGGGATGTTGGTTACGGGGTGATGGAGCGATGCGCCTCTACTAGAATGATCTGGGATCGAGCCCAACTTTTGAAACAAACTGCATATCTATTACTTCTCAGCTCATCTGATCGTAATTATAAAAGAAACGTTTTTTAATTGTTTATAATACTTATAACCATTACTTCATAAACAAAAATTCAGCTAAAACCTAATTGTGTGTGGGGAAACTTGAGTTTTGTCGAGACTTGATTTATTAACATGCCAACTGTTGTCGTCCACTTACCAGTGAAGGGCCTGACCAGCTGGAAGTATTGAGGCAGAGACCCAGGTTTGAGAGTGACAATACAGACGGACACGGGGGTGTAGACCCGAGAAAAGTCGACCACCGGCAGCCTCTCTGATGTTGGTGAGAGGATGAGGGAGAAGTCTGCCTGCTGGTGTTGGAGGGTCCCCACCGTCCCAGTCCAGTTGCCGTCAGCTCTGGGGAGCCCGAACTCCTCCACCATTGGTGGACGCATCTCGTAACTACCGTGTAATTTATGTCAGAGGCAAACAGAAACAGCAAACAAATTTCGTTTAAAATTTACCCTTAATTCATTAGAATACATTATAATCTGCACTTTATTTCCCCTAGTAGTAAATTATAAATTTACTGCTCTTCTGCATGGGAAATCCAATAACGCTAAATTTTCAGGTCCTGAAGTTTACTGCCAGGTTGCAAGTAATAAAAGCAAAAGCGTGTTTTCTGGTCTCCTATTACAGAAGAGAAATTTATTTCACGTGTTATTAATATAGTGTTTGTCCACATCCAGTCGCTTGCAGTGAGTAATGTTAGTATTTACTAGCTGGGACTATATAAGGCTAGAATTATTATTAATTTTGGGTTTTATTTATTAAAGTTTTGCAGTTATGTATTTATCTTCCTGATTTAAATATGAATGTTCTTATTATACCTTACTGTTAGCAAAAAAATATTTTGTCATGTGCTATAGTTCACCCATTTACAGTGTAACTGTTCGCCAACTCGGTAACAGCTCTGAATAACTGGTGTCTGACATCAGCGTGGTTGATAAAGGTAGAGGCTCTGTTTCCCCCTCCCCCCCTTATATGGTCTACCGTGCGGCCGTTGTACAGAAATTCTGTATCTCACCTTTAATTAAAAATGAAGATTGGAAGGATTTAAAACAATATTTGAATTCATTAATTAGTACGATTATTATTACTTGACTTTATCGTTAGTTTCGATCTTCCATTAAACAACGTAATTGCTAATTAAAACTACATTGACTGGCTCCATATATTCGTGTTTACATGGGAGCAACACGGGGAGTCAGTGGGAGTGGTGTTGTGGTAGTTCCCAGGTTAACACCTTAGACGCTCCAGGGAGTATTGACAGCATACTTTTCTAATCATCCCATACCACACTTGCTCTCCATGGAAGACGGCAGATAGAACATATTAAGTTGGTAAATGAAACACATCGCCGCACGCACATCATTCGGCATATTTCTTCAGCTAACGCATTTAGCCTTAATGCTGATGCGTTATATGTGAAGGTAAGATCCAATTAAAGTAGGGGTCGATGCAAATGGTTCAACCTCACATTAGTGCTATAGACTTTAGATATATAATACAGTTCTTCCAACTTTACTTTTTATTTTTGTGGAATTATTTTATATTAAGAATTTAAATAAATATATTAAAGCTGAGTCGATTCTTATTTTTACAGGCATGGAGGGGGGGGGGGAGGGGCGGGTTCTGCCGTGTTATTGACATCTCGGTAAGACCTTCATTTGGCAAGATGAATTATCATTGGATATAATTTTTCCTTTACGGTTTTATATTTTAACCTTTAGTTCCAGGTGTTCGATGATAAACGTCGTGGGACAAAGTAACTAACTAAATTATTTGGAAATTCTTTTCCTAATGGAAAAAGGTAATGTTTTTAATTCTTAATCCGATGAGAAATTGGTATAATATTCCTTGTATAAATCATAGTAATTGCTGTAATTTTCTTCTTAAAGGTTGGAAGGAGAGCCGAATTCAGCCCTGCAGTAACTCGTCATAAATATATTAATAAAGTTTATAAAAGGTATATAATTTATCCATTTTATGACTATACAGATTTTTTTTATCGCTGCTTAGTCGTTCATGGAGGATGGGATGTTATACAGGGCATAGATCTTATGTTACATAGATCTTATTCATCTTCCAGAGGAAGACAGCATGAGAGAAATAGCAACTTATAGGGACTGAGGTAACATGCTAGACTTGCGTGAGGTAGACATAGTTAGTCTTTGATCTTCACAGGATTCTTTGTTAGTGGAGACTAGCTCGAGAAATGTCGTATAGGCTTCACTTGACGGACAGTTTTTACCGTTGACTCTCCTCGATAAGTCAGGCTCAGTCTGTAGGTCATTCACCTTCTCTCTCTACTCCACCAGTATAAAATTCTGATTGAAAGGTGCGTGTCCATCTTCATGCACGATGGAGATTTAAAAAAACATTTGGTTTTTGCATTGGTCATAATGCTCGTGATGGAAGGTTGAATAACTTCGAATTATTTAGACAGCTTCAGCACTTTATTACTACTTATGGAGAACGTTAACTTTGGGATTTCATAACATATGGGGTTGGGAAGTGACTTGAGATATTAAGTATATGACCATATGGATATACACTTGCAAGAAGGCTTCAACTACCTGCCATTACCTTAGTCAAGGGAATATCTTTTATCTAACTCTTAAACTTGTGCAATTTTCTGGTGAGGATACATGGCTAAAATAAATTTACAAGTAGTCTGTCACTTAGATGAATTTGAATTGAAAATATTTCATGATATAATGTTGGAAACCTTAAAAAAAAGTAACTAGAGTTCTCACGTGAAATTGAGCTTGGCGGCAAGGGTGTGAAGCATGCTGAAGTCAAGAGATTCAAGAGGAATGACGGGGTTCTTAGAGCCAGGAAAGTCCCGTCTGTAGTTTGTGTATGGCACTATCACCAACCCGACCACCTTGAACTTGTGACCCTTCATGTTGCTCAATTCATCTGCGGATTATATAGGCCTGTCTGATCTCTAGTGACAAGTATTAATTCTTAAATTGTTAATTCTCTGATATATCTCGGTATAAGACGGCTGACTTTATTGATGTCACCAACTGTAATTTTTTTTTTCACTGTGGAACGACTAGTACTGATGTCATGAACATTACTTGTGATGTGCAATCAGGAGGAAGTCTCTGATATTGTAGTTATATCCTTCTAACACGACATTCAAGACTGCAACAATACCTATGAAACCTTTACCCCAGGCACTGACTGGGTAAAGGTTTGTCAAGTATCATCCACCCACAATGTCACTCACTGACCAGGAAAGAGCAGGTCGGCCTGGGGAACACCACTATCCCCTGACCAGGGGAGCAAGATCTTCACCCCCGCCTCTCCCCTGACGCAGTACACACACTTCCGGTAAACCTCAGCGCCTACTCTTCGACCTGGACCCAGAAAAATATACTTTGTTTGGTGTTGCCTAAAGACTTAAAACTTTATGAAAAATCTAATTTTAATTCAGATTTTAATACCATCGTCAGATTGATCAGACTTGAGGAATATGGAGAACATGTAAATATTGAATAAGATAGAAAGTGAAAATTATAATGATAAAATTTGTTTGAAGACATTTTCAAGGACCTGCATTATTCTGTTGACAACAGATTAATTATAAAGTCTTCAACTGCCATTTAAACATAATCTACAAACTTTGGTCACCTGAGGGAGCGACGGGAGAGTCTCCGACATGTGGTGTAGCCCGAGGCGTGAGGCGAGTGTGGAGAGCTGAGAACGTAGAGTGGTGGAGAGTGAAGTAGAGTGCGTGGATGGTGTTACGGAGAGTGTGGTGCAGGAGAGCCGTGACCAGCAGCGTCCTGGGCCCTAGCAACACTACCCGCGTCTCAGGCCATAACCACAACGCTGAGACCTCCAGGAACCTGTTACAGAGAAGAAACAACATATATCATCCAGTAGCGACGGAGTTAGTGAAGTCAATTACCAACCGATTGGTTCTCGACTTCCCCCAGGCAGGATCAGAGGTGTGGCCACGTGTTCTACCACACAATGCGTCCGTGCGCTGAGAAGTAAGTAGGTACCTTGGAGTTGGCCAACTGTTGTTGGCTGCATCCTGCTGCAGGCAAGACTTTGCCAATTTAGGAATTGGTCCCTAAATTGATCCCTAATTGGTCCCTAGGAAAGCGTTACGGGCTTTGTTTCAGACAATAGGCAACCAGACCCAATAGTTTTCATGCATATGTAAACTCAGCAACTTTATCGAATTTAAACTTTTACTAGTAAAATATGTAAAAAAAAAAAAAAAATTATGGAACTTTGTAATTTGAGTTGTACTTATAATAACAAATATATCACGATGGAAAAGATATACTCTTATGATACAAGAAATGCCGATCAAATCAGATCACTTTGGGCATACAGGAATAAGTCACTATGGCAGAGGGCAGTGATTATAAACTAGGCAGGTATTGGTGGTTCTGAAGGCTAGTTTACCTGAAGGCAAGGACTCGTGTATTAGTGGTTCTGAAGGCTAGTTTACCTTAAGGCAAGGACTCGTGTATTAGTGGTTCTGAAGGCTAGTTTACCTTAAGGCAAGGACTCGTGTATTAGTGGTTCTGAAGGCTAGTTTACCTTAAGGCAAGGACTCGTGTATTAGTGGTTCTGAAGGCTAGTTTACCTTAGGGCAAGGACTCGTGTATTAGTGGTTCTGAAGGCTAGTTTACCTTAAGGCAAGGACTCGTGTATTAGTGGTTCTGAAGGCTAGTTTACCTTAAGGCAAGGACTCGTGTATTAGTGGTTCTGAAGGCTAGTTTACCTTAAGGCAAGGACTCGTGTATTAGTGGTTCTGAAGGCTAGTTTACCTTAAGGCAAGGACTCGTGTATTAGTGGTTCTGAAGGCTAGTTTACCTTAGGGCAAGGACTCGTGTATTAGTGGTTCTGAAGGCTAGTTTACCTGAAGGCAAGGTGGGCCTGGGTGGAGAGGTCGAGGACGACGACACGGCAGCCGGCCCCAGCGTGCTGCCACAGCACCTGAGATAACACCTGTGGCCAAGGATCCTGCAGGAAGAGAGATCCTGCCTCCACCACAACATATCCTACCACACCCGACACGCGCCTGACTCCCACGTTGCCGGGAGGAGGAGGAGGGGAGATAATTTAACATTAACTCCTTCTCACAGTAGCGACGTTGGCTTACCAATATAAATGCATTTTATTTTTCTAAATGGTAGTAAATAAATAGTAACAGCAGCTTAATTAAAGTAATGCTAGTCACAAAGGTTGATTTTAGATGTAAAGTACATGTCATATTAGTTAAATGTGAAGAATCGACTTGAAGTGCTATCTATAAGGCATTATGGGACTCGCCTGATAATCTGGGATAAAACAGGTGAATGTTCTTGACTGGTTCCCAGGACTAAGTGACACTTAGCTAGGTGATGTACCACCACCTGGCTCACCATAACAGCCACCTCGTCCACGGAACCTCCCAGATGATCCTTAGAACCATCCAAGTTATTTTCGAAACATCCAAGGCGGTTCGCAGAACCACCAAGGCCATACATACGCAAACTTTGCTGGTTCATAAAGGTGTCCACTTGGTCCACTAAGCCACCACGCTGCTCCAAACACCCGCTCAACTGGTCCGCACGTTCCACCAACGGTTTAACAGGTTCAGGAATCTGCCCCTCCTTGCCTTTAACTTGCCCCGTCACCAAAGCAATCAGTGAAAGAGCAGCAAAAATGGGTTGCAGCATCGCGCCTCGCTGGAACCAAATACAAATGCCATCAGAACCGGGCCAGCAACTTCGTGACGCCCAATCTCGGTATTGACAAATCGCTCACCACGGAATGGACAGAACAAAATAGTTAAGCAATTTACAAAATCAAATAACTGTCAAAAAAAATAACAAATTAAAATGCAAATTCATCAACAAATATTGTTGTGATATAAAATATGCAAATATTTCGTGTTTGGGTCACAGTGCTGTCAATGGGGAGACAGTAGCTTAATGTTCTGTTAAATTGACAAGTATATTTGTTTGTATATATATTTGTCTGTGTTCGCGAAGTGTGTGTGTGTGTGTGATCCAGCTAATGGCTTTGCCTTTTAGTTATGAAGTATCCAGCCTTGCTTACACGCAAGTTTTAGTAAATTTATAAATAATGTCATTCACGAATCCGTATCACGTGTTTTTGCCAACAGTTTTCGCATCTCGAAATGTTTCTCTGGCCATTATAGGATTAAATCTATGGATAGAGACGTTATCCATTATCTCCACCTGATAGTCGTCTTGCTTGGATACAACTCTTATGGCTTATGCGGTCTTCTTTAAAAGGCATGTAGTGGAAACGCATAAGCTATATCGGGCTCTTGGGCCCCTGATACATCATTTCTTTATAATCGATATTATGTAACAATTATTTATCAAAGAACCGCAATGTTGTCTTCATGAAACACTCACTATTTCTTTTCTGTAAAAATACTTTACAGAAATCCAATTCTAGATGCTCAAGGTTCTAGGGGGGAACCCTGAAAGTCGAAGAGAAGATGTGCTTTGTTCCTAATTCGGACAAAATCATGTAACTCAGATTCCTCTGGTCCTTCTTCCTTCTAACGTTGTAAGAAACAGTTATTTAAGACGTTTTTGAAACTTTTCATCTCGTACTAAGCTTGTGGCAAAGTTCTAAACTTTCTGAACTTGACGTCGGGTGCGGCTTCAATGCCAAACTTGCACACTTAAGAGTCGGCTTTGCCACTGAATTTATTCTGCTAATGTGAGCTTCTAACATAGATTTGGAAGTCATGTATGCTCACACACGTGTGTGTGTGTGTGTGTGTGTGTGTGTGTGTGTGTGTGTGTGTGTGTGTGTGTGTGTACTCCCCTAATTGTACTCACTTAATTGTCCTTGCAGGGGTTGAGCTCTGGCTCTTTGGTCCCGCCTCTCAACTGTCAATCAACAGGTGTACAGATTCCTGAGCCTACTGGGCTCTATCATATCTACACTTGAAACTGTGTATGGAGTCAGCTTCCACCACATCACTTCCTAGTGCATTCCATTTACTAACTACTCTGACACTGAAAAAGTTCTTTCTAATGTCTCTGTTGCTCATTTGGGTACTCAGCTTCCACCTGTGTCCCCTTGTTCGCGTCCCTCGCGCGCGCGCGCGCGTGTGTGTGTGTGTGTGTGTGTGTGTGTGTACTCACCTACTTGTGCTTGCGGGGGTTGAACTCTGGCTCTTGTGTGTGTGTGTGTGTGTGTGTGTGTGTGTGTGTGTGTGTGTGTGTGTGTGTGTGTGTGTGTCCCTGGGGTACATGTAAAAATGACATGTATAAGATTTTTCTCACATACATATATAAATTCTCCGCGGTATTGCTTATATATTCACCTTGAGAATGACTTAGCCTTTCTAACACGCAATATAATATTAAAGTTACTACATAAAAAATAACATCAAGAATTCATGCCTGAATATATAAATCATATATATTTATCTTTAGATTTTATGAACTCGATTCAGATGTGTATATATATATATATATATATATATATATATATATATATATATATATATATATGTCGTACCTAGTAGCCAGAACGCACGTCTCGGCCTACTATGCAAGGCCCGATTTGCCTAATAAGTCAAGTTTTCATGAATTGTTTTTCGACTACCTAACCTACCTAACCTAACCTAACTTTTTCGGCCACCTAACCTAACCTAACCTATAGAGATAGGTTAGGTTAGGTTAGGTAGGGTTGGTTAGGTTCGGTCATATATCTACGTTAATTTTATCTCAAATAAAAACAAATTGACCTCGTACATAATGAAATAGATAGCTTTATCATTTCACAAGAAAAAAATTTGAGAAATTATATTAATTCAGGAAAACTTGGCTTATTAGGCAAATCGGGCCTTGTATAGTAGGCCGAGAAGTGCGTTCTGGCTACTAGGTACGATATATATATATATATATATATATATATATATATATATATATATATATATATATATATGTCGTACCTAGTAGCCAGAACTCACTTCTCAGCCTACTATGCAAGGCCCGATTTGCCTAATAAGCCAAGTTTTCATGAATTAATGTTTTTTCGTCTACCTAACCTACCTAACCTAACCTAACCTAGCTTTTTTTGGCTACCTAACCTAACCTTACCTATATATATAGGTTAGGTTAGGTTAGGTAGGGTTGGTTAGGTTCGGTCATATATCTACGTTAATTTTAACTCCAATAAAAAAAAAATGACCTCATACATAGTGAAAAGGGTAGCTTTATCATTTCATAAGAAAAAAATTATAGTAAATATATTAATTCAGGAAAACTTGGCTTATTAGGCAAATCGGGCCTTGAATAGTAGGCTGAGAAGTGAGTTCTGGCTACTAGGTACGACATATATATATATATATATATATATATATATATATATATATATATATATATATATATATATATGTTGTACCTAGTAGCCAGAACGTCGTATTCGGCCTACTATGCAAGGCCCGATTCGCCTAATAAGCCAAGTTTTCATGAATTAACATATTTTCTCAAATTTTGTTCTTATGAAATGATAAAGCTATCTATTTCATTATGTACGAGGTCAATTTTTTTTATTGGAGTTAAAATTAACGTAGATATATGACCGAACCTAACCAACCCTACCTAACCTAACCTAACCTATCTTTATAGGTTAGGTTAGGTTAGGTAGCCGAAAAAGTTAGGTTAGGTTAGGTTAGGTAGGTTAGGTAGTCGAAAAACCATTATTTCATGAAAACTTGGCTTATTAAGCAAATCGGGCCTTGCATAGTAGTCTGAGAAGTGCGTTCTGGCTACTAGGTACGACATATATATATATATATATATATATATATATATATATATATATATATATATATATATATATATATATATATATATATATATATATATAATCTATATATAATATGTCTGTCCATACATATGTCTATGATGTTGTTACAGATTCAACTACTCGGAACAAGTTCCAAGTAGCACCGGCTATGGTGAGCACGTAAATATATCTATGACTAAAATAATCCATAAATCGCAAGTCCTCAATTATATTCCTAAACTAAATACGTAACAAAATCATGACCTAAGTCTACAAATACTAAAACAAACATATTAGAAACATTGTTAATTGAGTACCACCGGCTCGTCCTAAGCAACAGAGGCGAAGTGCTCGTTTATCCAACAGGTAAACCCCAGGGGCCAGATTCACGAAGCAGTTACGGAAGCACTCACGAACCTGTATATCTTTTTTCAATCTTTGGCGGCTATGTTCACAATTATTAAACACTTAATGAGATCCGATGCACCAGGAGGCTGTTTATAACAGTAACAACAGTTGATTGGGAAGTTTTCATGTTTGTAAACTGTTTAATAAATGTAACCAAAGCTGTCAAAGATTGCGGAAAGATGTACACGTTCGTAAGTATTTGCGTAACTGCTTCGTGAATCTGGCCCCACTGGTTACGAATGAAAAACGGTTTACACACGACTAACAGCTCAACCCGTCCTCGATTCAAGTCCAATACATCCAGCGGTCGACCCCACAGACGCATTCATAAATTTTAACATGCTGTTTATTCAAAACGGGAATTTTCTCAAGTATAAATTAATATTATAATATATTAGCATATTGTGTATATATAGGCATAGGATAGGTTAGGTGTTTAGGTTCTGTTGGCGATTATTTGTATTTGTAGTACGTGGGTGAAGCATTTATAGCGTTGTGGTTCGAACAAAATTCGTCAGTGAAGCACTTGTTCCGGATGTGTTCGAACGTCAGCAGTTGTGAGTCGTGTGTAAACCGCTTTTCATTCATAAACAGGAGGTTTGGCGGGTGCATGGAATCACTTTTGGATCTTTGTTTGGAGGACGGGCTGAACAGCTAGTGACGTGGGGGGGGGGAACTTTTCTCGAGCAGAGCAGAGCAGAGCTGACGCCCTCTGCTCGAATCGCAAGTCTGTAAATGCTTCACCCCACACTAAAAGCAGACACATAAAATCGCCACCAGGACCTAAACACGCAACGTAACCTATGCTTAAGTGTACATTGAATTTTATAGTATAAATTTTTTTATTTATATTTGAGAACAAACCTATTTTAATTACACCGAATGTTAAATTGTTGAATGATTGTCGGGGGTCGGCTACTCCTTTAACGAGCCTGGCCTGAGGACTGGTCGATGTGCGTGTATTCACCTAGTTGTGTTTGCGGCGGTTGAGCTCTGGCTCTTTGGTCCCGCCAAAGTGCGTGTGCGTGTGCGTGTGCGTGGTCATTACCTCGTTCACCACCACCATGGCGGCGTGGAGGCATCAGTGCCAAAGTTGTACGAGAACAATACAGGACATGAACGTAAGTAATTATCAATATTTTTTGAGCAGGCTGACGTGAGAGCTCGGTAAGGTGTACTCACGTAGCTGTATTCACCTAGTTGTGCTTGCGTGGGCTGAGCTCTGGCTCTTTGGTCCCGCTTCTCAACTGTCAATCATCTGGTGTACAGATTCCTGAGAATTCCTCAGAGGTGTGTTTCATAGCAGATAAGAAACAGCTATTTGAGTAACAGTTATTTGAGTAACTGTTATTACCACTGTTATTTTGAGTGATGTTGCATTTTAGTAATATTATTAGTAAGATTATAATTATTTTTAGTTAAGCGTATTACATTCTTTAGTTGAGGTGAGCATTTCGCTAGTTATGAAAAAGTCATCGGAGCATCCTTGGTAATCACTGACGCGTACCTTAACCCATACACCACATGTTAATGGTTATCACAGGATTAATAGTTAATGGTTAATGATCCTGCCCCAAATATTGTATCGTGGATATATCAGGCTATTGTGACTTCCTTGTGCACTCGTTATACACATACAAATTGTTAATAGTATTTGTTTATTTATCGGAACTGCAAAAATTTTATTTACTAGTATCTTGTATCGGCACCAATGGGGGAGATTCCATAATTTGATTGAAAACTATTGTGAGTTTTTTTTCATTCAATTACAATGATTTAGTGTTTTTTGGTCATTATATTTTGGTCGCCTTCTTGTTGCAAAATTAAGTTCCATACTTTTCCGTGTTCCAGGAGGTAAATGGCTCGAAATTTATCTGTTTATGTAAAGGAAACATTCATCTTCTTGTCACATATCTTATCTCTTGAGGGAGGGATTTGAAGAAATGCTGAATGTGGGGGTCAGTATGAATGTTGGGAACCTTGGAAGAAACGACACGGTCAAGCCGACCCATATAGGAGTCTCTATAGTAGTCCTTATATATGACATCGAGTCAGGAATAATAAATTTGCATTTCACTAGATGCACAGCCCTGTGTATCCTCTAACAACTTTAGATAAGATTGTGGCTAGGAATTCGAAATTATAATTGTTATAAATGTAATAGTTTTAATGATTTCTCTGATATGATTTAAGTCTATTTATCTCCTGACCAAGTCAACGCACAACTATTCTAACAGGAACTAGTCTCTGGTATTAGCTTTAGGATATTCTAAAGGAGCGACCCGATCACACTTCCCTGGGGAGGAAACTCGCCTCTAAGGAATTCCACGAGAGGAATGATTCTTGTCGACAACTTTGAGAGTTCAGATTCATAAATCTATTTTAATGAGTTGCAAACGATTTCCATCAACTCCAAGTCTCATAAGCTTACACATCGGTCGTGTATCTTTCATAGATTATTTATTATTTCCATAAAAATAATAGTAATTAACACAGAAAATTTGTATCAAATTGCTTACCGAACTGTAGGTGGAGACTCGTCCCCACCCGCACCTGCGTCGCACCATAGGCACGGCGACAATGTTTTGTGTGTCAAGAAATCTTTAGTTTTTATTCACCCGCCGCCACCCCCTCCCCCCCCCCCCCCCCCCTCCCGGCGAGGAGTGCCATATGTCTCCACTCTCTCATTGTCAATATAATAGAAGGTCTTTGTATATTTGCGCACTACAAATAACGAAAAAAACTCTCTGAATTTGTGTTAATTTATTATACAGATTTACAAATTACAATAAATAAATGAGGACTGGCAAAGCAGCAAAAAATATCTTTAGACTTGCATAACCTTCAATAATGAGCCACGTGTATGTGCACTAGTGACATATTACAAACCATTATCATTACAAATAATTGAGGGTAACTGAAACAAATGTAATGACTAATTTTCGTTCCTCCGACCTCGGGACGAAGCATAACTTGACTGCTGAAGAGAGAGAGAGAGAGAGAGAGAGAGAGAGAGAGAGAGAGAGAGAGAGAGAGAGAGAGAGAGAGAGAGAGAGAGAGAGAGAGAGAGAATGATGATTATACAATGTATTTACAACTAGAAGAGGAAATCCAGCAAATTTTTAACAAACAGACGAGCAGAACAAACTTGTTTCGAAACATCTGACAGAGCCTTAGGGACATTCACATTCCATATATATATAATGTAAAATCCAGCCTAAAAGTAGCTAAAAAGCTTTAATGGGCAGAAGGAGTCGAACTGTTGTGGGCTCCTCTCAAGCTTGACGATTTTTCCTATGCATGTACATCCATCAGCCCGAAAAATATGCATCGAACAGGGAGTTCATTTCAGTGTAGTTTCTTCCGGAGGCTGTAGGATGCCAGGTGATTCTAGCCGGCCGTGATAGGCTTACGGTGCGGTGTCTGTGGGCTGCCGTGGTAGCGACAACACAGATGGGGCGGTCTGGTCGAGCAGTCGATCATCACCCGCTTACATAGCTCTAGAATGCTCACTTTACCTGCACCTAAAATCATTATAATTCATTACACACAGAAAACACAATAACGTGATGCATCAAGTGAACAAATCCACAAGGGTGGATTGACATAGCTCGAGCGCATGGGGGAGTTGTGTAAAACCCTGGTTTGTGTCTCGGAGAGGCTGCAGGTTCCAGTAAGTTCAGTACAACTTCGGTTTCAACTCTTTTTGACCATGTCGTAGCTCAGTCGATTAAGGCAGCGTCTGGGATGCTCTCGGACGCAGGTTCGAATCCTCGTCACGGCCCTTGTGGACTTGTTCTTTATAATTCATTATTAAAAACAATGCTTCTACTAATTATTATAATGAACTTTATAATCAAGATAACTGTAATAATAATAACAAAAACATTAATGGTAATAACAATAATAATTATAATAATAATAATATTGAACAAATCCAAGAGGAGCCTTGATGAAGGTTCGAACTTACGCACTGGGTGTATCCAGGCGCGCTCTAGTCGACTGAACCACGAGCGCGTCTGGGAGCACCCAGCACCTAGGTTCGAATCCCTCTTCACGACTCCTGTGGGATTTATTCATCGATGTATCACGTTAATGGGATTTATCTGTGTAATGATAATATTATTATTAATTATTATTAGTTTTATTATTACTGATATTATTAATAATGACAATAGAACTGGAAAACTTTTATTATTTTTTTTGTTAAGATAAGTATGTTTCGGATCAAATTATATTATATAAATAGCCCTTTAGTACTTTTTTTGTAGGGAGATTCCATAACTGGCCCTAAACCTCTGGTTGGCCCGGTATGGGTTCATCATTTCTCTCTTATTTAAATAGTGGATGAGCACTTATAACTCGTATGTTTTCTTCAGTAAGATTATGCCCATTGTGTTCATTAAATTTAGCTATAATTTCAATCACCAGGGGTAATAGAAGTCTCGAACGCGCGACCTTCACTTTGATAGACGAGTGCTCTATCGACTGGGCCAGTCGATAAAGCATACTTAGCTGTAACACGTGCATGCTTGGTAATTGATTGTTGTCGCCGGAGGCGACTAGTTTATTGTGCACCCCATACTCATCCTGTGAGCGGTAGCGCAAAAAAATGATTACAGAGGGCACAAAAAGTCTTTATCAGACCTCAACACAGGTTACTTCATTAACAATTACATCTGTCCTTCATACTTTATAATTATAATGTCTGCTAGTTACAGAGAATGTTCCATTTCAATAGCTATGTATTTATAGTCAATTATCATACATTATTGGTAGGTCTTTTCGCTAATTCATAATTGTTTGAGCTATGGAGACATGACAGGGTCATAGGGGAGCTGCTGTTATTAATCTTCACAATACATTACTTGCTTCATAATCTAATATGTCGTTTATCTACTCGAAGCGAAATGTGGATACAGTGTAAGGATATCAGATATTTTATCCCTAGTAATAAGATGGTTCGCCATTTTATTTGAGTTTAGATTTATCTGTAAATGGCTCAATTTCATTTCAGTCTAAGATATAATGCTCAAGTAGGTGTCGCTGTCCTTGTCCACTTGGTAACTATCCAAAAATCTGAGCACCTACCTTTAACCAATCATCCCAGAATCATAACTGCGATAGTCATGTACAGTACCAGAATCATGGCCATAATCCCAGGGACAGATTACCTGTAATCCTAAGATGAGTCTGGGTATCTAAGTTCCTTCCAAGGATCCCACCTACAGTCCCAGTGTGCCAGTTACTATTTTTACACCATCCCAGAGTCGTAGAGGCGAGCCATACCTACTACTACAATGTTCTAGCTACGATATTTGAGTACAGTCCTTCACTGTCGTCTCACAGTGATATACGTAGCCAAAACAAATCAAGTAAATCTTACTTTTGGGCTCACAGATGGCGGCAGCGACCAGAAGGCTGAGTACCAACGTCATCGCGATGAACGACCTGAATGTAAACACTGTTAATTGGTTGCTGAGGGGCATTCAGATGATCTCGTATCCATGAGCAGTCTCAATGGTTTGATAATGTCCAAATATTATTGACTTTCTGTCTGCTGGGAATTGATAGCAGCTAATGAATTACAAGCATCTGTGTTAGGTTTAGAACAGACGGCGTCTTATTTATAAAAGTTATACAATACAATGCTGTATACAATATTGTATAACACCTGTGGTCACACTGTATGAAGGTTTTTCAAGTTGGAAAAAAAATAAATAGCAATTATCAAAGTATGTATAATTTAGTTACAGAAGCTCTTTTGAGAGGAATTTTTTGGTAAGTTAAAATGAGATCAGGTTACGTCAACATCGTCAGAGGGAATCTTATCAAAACTTACTTACCTCTCCTCACAGCCTGAAAACTTTGTGTATTTTATTTATTAGGAATACTTTCAGCGTATATATATTACCCTGGACTTGTGTTAATTGCGAAACATGACTTACACACATGGATCCAGGTTCGATTCCCGGCAGAGACGGAAACAATTGGGCAAACGATTGAGTTTTTCTCACCTGATTCGCCTGTTTACCAAGCAGTAAAGAGGTGCCGTGGTATTAGACAGCTGTTGTGGATGTATGTGTGTGTGTGTGTGTGTGTGTGTGTGTGTGTGTGTGTGTGTGTGTGTGTGTGTGTGTGTGTGTGAAGGAGATATATATGTAGTAGATATGATAAAGTAAAATAAATCGGGAGTCAATACATTAAACAACTGACGGTTATTTGACTATCTGTTTTTTCGGTCTGTGTCTGTCTCTTTTATTTCGGTCTGTCTGTCCTCTGTCTTTCTGTCTGTTTTTTGTCTGTCCCTCTTATAAAAAATATAATTGTTTAATGTGTGGGCGGTCACCAGTGAAAGGGAGTTTAGTGGTGTTGAAATACTGGAAAAAGAATTGTTATTGGTTACTCTGATAAAGGGCTAACAGCTCGCAGATTGCTATTGCAGGAACAAATAGAAAATATAAACAATAACACGCACACACACACACGCCTCTCACACGCACGCAAATACAAATACAAACACGTTTAAATATATGAAAAAGAAAAACACAATACCTACCTCTTGCCTGTTCCACGCATCACTAAGAGTTATGTAATTGCGCGTTATATCCCCCCGTTATATTCGACATGTGATTTAGTTAACTTTTTATATAGAGTGAAATATCAGAGCTTGCACTCACATCCTGATGTATGTAATGAGAAACGCGTAATAGTGTGTCTCATTCCTACCTTTCCATGATGTCGCTGAGGAGGATGGCACTCGAGTCTTGATGCTGGGCTTCTCAAGTGGACACTGGGGACTCAGGGAGTAGAGCCCGGCGTTCAAGGTGTCACAATGCATACTGAACAACCTTCTATACTGGGCAAGGTTAGATACCGTTGTTGCCTTGGGAGGGAAGATGGGGTAAGGAGGTGGGATGTGGGGGGGTGGAATAGGGGGTGGAATAGGGGGTGTGTAGGGGTGGGAATAGACAGACTATTCCAGGCACGGCCGGGTACCCCTCCTATAATATATATATATACCAGAATATTTGTTGGTCAGTTCACAGCCCCGCTCCTGTGCCAGGTAAGTCCACTACGGGCTCACTATAGCCCGTGCTACTTGGAACTTGTTCTGAGTAGCTGAATCTGTAACAACAACAGTTGGTCAGTTACGAGATATTCATGCCCGTGCCAACTCTTGGGTGGCTTAATCTTCATCAATCAATCAATGTTGGTCTTTCTGTCCAAGGATAAAGGCCAAACGCTTGGGGCTAGCCTCGCCTAATTTGCCAAGATGATTCATGTAGGGTATAGGAGTGTCATAGGCTAGTTGGGATCGGTTCCAGTGTAACACTCTAAGAAATATCGGTATTTCTAGCTATCCCAACGATTTTCATGAAAGCTGTAACAAAATCTGAGGTTGGGTTTTCCGTAGAGTTTTGATGCATTCTCCAACATCACCCATTTGGGGGCATCTCCTCTCCTTTCCACTCATTTGGGTTACAGTATTACATTTTAAGACAGTACTGAGAAAGAGAGAGAGAGAGAGAGAGAGAGAGAGAGAGAGAGAGAGAGAGAGAGAGAGAGAGAGAGAGAGAGAGAGAGAGAGAGAGAAATAAATACAGAGACACAGAGACAGAGAGGGAGAAAATAGCACGGATAGAGAGACAGAGGAAAACACACACAGAGACTCAAACAAAGAGAATAAGAAAGACAGAGAGTCAGACAGATAATGAGCGAAAAGAGACAGAGACAGAAACAAAGACAGGCAGGCAGACAGAGACACAGATAAGGATAGTCACAATGGGACTCACAAAGAGTCACAGAGAGTCTCAGAGAGGGAGGGAAATATCAGGGGAAAGCGCCAAGCTATTGCGACTATATAGCACTTGGAAGGGGGTCAGGATAAGGATTTTGGATGAGAGAAAAGGAATGGTGCTCAACCATTTGGTCGTAGAGTCTCAAAGAGACTCACAAAAGAAAGCAACAAAGTGATAAAGAGAGATACTCTAATATAGAGCCGTAGACAGAGAGAGAGAGCAACAAAGATACAAAGAGAGACATAGTTAGAGAGCCATAGAGACAGAGAACGGATGAGATATCATACATGTCTACTCACCTAGTTGTGTCTGCAGGATCGAGCACGGACTCTTGGATCCCGCCTTTCGAGCATCGGTTGTTTACAGCAATGACTACGGTCCTATTTCCCTATCATACCTGGTTTTAAAATTATGAAGAGTATTTGCTTCCACAACCTGTTCCTGAAGTGCATTACATTTTCCCACTAGTAGTAGTAGTAGGAATCCATCAGTCTCAGGAGACTATGGAGTTGCGCTCTGGTTGTCGGTCTGGAGTGGCCTCACCAGGGCACAAAGCCAGGGTAGGTTGATTCGGGGGAGAAGCTGTTACCCAGGCAGCAGGTCCCCCCTCTCCACGGCGCTGAAAGTCTCCAATAGAAAGGCATACGCCAATACGATTGGTTCCAGCGCCGTCGCAGGAATTGTGAGTTCCGGAGATGACCTCGAAGTTGGTGAAGAAGGGCACAGGTACCCCCCCAACCCCGGAGACCACCGTGGTCGGGGCCGGAGAAGAACCACCCCATCAAGGGTAAGAACGACCCCAGCCTCCTGAAGCAGAGCCTGGGCCGCACGACCCTCGGGAGGTGGACGTCCCGGTCCCGCACCTACGGGTTCCAGACAAGGATCGTCACAGCCCCTTTTCACCCGAGGCCGGCCTCCTTCAAGACCACCCTTTTCCACTACTCTCACGCTAAAAGAGAACTTCCTAACATCTCTGTGACTCATCTGAGTTTCCAGCTTCCACCCATGTCCCCTCGTTCTGTTACTATTCCGTGTGAACATTTTTCGTCTATGTCCACTCTGTCAATCCCTCTGAGTATATTATACGTTCCTATCATTTCCCCCCCCCCTCTCCTTTCTTCTTTCTAGTGTCGAAAGGCACAGCTCCCTCAGGCGCTCCTCATACCTCATCCCTCGTAGCTCTGGGACGAGTCTCGTTGCAAACCTCTGAACCTTTTCCAGCTTCTTTATATGCTTCTTTAGATGGGAACTCCATGATGAGGCAGCATACTCCAAGACTGGCCACATGTAGGCAGTGTAAAGCGCCCAAAATGCCTCCTTTCTTAGGTTTCTGAATGATGTTCTAACTTTTGCCAGTGTAGAGTACGCTGCTGTCGTTATCCTATTTATATGTGCCTCAGGAGATAGATTAGGTGTTACGTTTACGCCCAGGTCTCTTTCGCGCGTCGTCACAGGTAGGCTGTTCCCCTTCATTGTGTACTGTCCCTTTGGTCTCCTATCTCTTAGTCCCATTTCCATAACATTGTGTGTTGGCATGTATGCTCCCATTTATCATTCATTTATTAAAACCAAAAGCTAACCTATTGTTTATAATCAGAGAACATTAACAAAAAGTTCATATTTTCATTGTTCCTCGTCTTAATCCTATCATCGGCACTTAATAACACTTGAATTATATACTATAATTAACCAGTAATATAAGTGGAAGTTATATCCTGCCAGAAAACAAATAGCTAGAGATCCCTATAGTAACTAAACTATTGAAACTCTAGTATACTATCATTTATAGAAAATAATCCAACAAAACATTAAGAAAGTGGATCATAGAGACAAGAGGTTGCGAAGAACCTATTTTTTGTTAGCATATATTTTTTTAGCGGACAAATAAAAAAAATCATCGCTTAAAATCAATTGTCACATCATCAATTGTAAAGTGAAACTGCGAGAGGTCTCGTGATAAAAAGTAAATTTTTTATCCACAGGACTGCACCAACAAATACTTTATTTGCAAGGGATATTTACTAGCATAGAGGAGATTCAGGTCAGGTCGTAAATGAAAGGACTCACTGATGGTTATTAAAACATTTACTAAAATATATAACTAGCTAACCTAACCTAGCCTAATCTAACCTTACCTATCCTAACTTATCTTAACCTAACCTATCTTAGCTTAACCTATCCAAACCTAGTCGAACTTTACTTATCCTTACATAAATTATGTTAACAATTATCTCCCATTTACCCCATTATTAATATTTTTATTGTATCATTATTATATGTATTTATTATTTTATTATTTTATTATTATTATTATTATTATTGTGGCTATTGTTATTGTAATTTTGAATTTATTTATTGTTATTATTATTTTATTATTAAGGAAAATACACTTAGGTAACTGATACAACTATAAATCATCTTAATAAGAAATTTCATTAGCTCTCGTCATAAGGTTACCATACATCTTTCAATGTAAAAATATACGTAAAAGCTTAGGGAACACATTCTCTGAACAAGGAAAAGTAACTAGAAATTGTTAGACTTTTTATTTAATGAGTTATAGATTATTATAGATCCAGGGAGAAGAATATCTAGTGAGGCTGCAAGCGATGCTCCGAGAGAAATAAATTATTTGGGTAAAACTTAACAAATAATTAATTAGTTGCTGGAAGATCATTTTTTTTTTTAATTTTAAAGCTAGAAAAATATATTTTCGGGTCTCCTTTTAATTGTTACATAACTTGTTGATGATATATGTAGAGAAGCCATAGGAACAGGAAAACTAGTAGGAAGACTAGCAGCAAGACTAGCAGCAAGACTAGCAGCGAGACTAGCAGCGAGACTAGCAGCGAAACTAGCAGCAAGACTAGCAGCAAGACTAGCAGCAAGACTAGCAGCAAGACTAGCAGCAAGACTAGCAGCAAGACTAGCAGCGAGACTAGCAGCAAGACTAGCAGCAAGACTAGCAGCAAGACTAGCAGCGAGACTAGCAGCAAGACTAGCAGCAATACTAGCAGCAAGACTAGCAGCAAGACTAGCAGCAAGACTAGCAGCAAGACTAGCAGCGAGACTAGCAGCAAGACTAGCAGCAAGACTAGCAGCAAGACTAGCAGCAAGACTAGCAGCAAGACTCCTATTTCCCAATCTGACAGTCTTCATCCTATAGGAGATGGCCGATGTCCAATAGATTAATGAGTCCCAGGTCATTTAAGCTTGACACTGTGATTGAGTGTGATGACAGCCGGGGAATCACCAGTGACCCGACAGCACACGTGAGGGGGCTCAACTTTACAGTTAGGCCTCATCCGCTTGCAGATCTCGAAAAGCCCTTTTCTCGTAGCTCTAACTAGAAAGAGAAAAAGGTATTAAAATACTACTACTACTAATAATAATAGCGATAATAATTACAGTAATAATAATAATAATAATAATAATAATAATAATAATAATAATAATGCTTATAATATTAATACTGAATACAGATATAAATCCCATTAAAAAGCCATGATATTAGGGCAATAATATTCTAACAGCTGTTATAGCTTGTCACAATAGTCAAAGAGCGGACACTAGAGTTATTTTGACCGACGATGACAAATATAAAGGGGATTCGGTACTAGGAGAGGGGACCAGTACTCCCCTAGTAGAAGAGAATTGAATCTCTTTAGAGGTGCCATCAATCAGCATTAAGTACTAACGCAAGCTATCACCTCCACACAGAAATATTTTCATACATCTGCCTCTAATCCTGGAGACAAGTCAGTTCTATCACTCACCGGGTTCGCTTATCCGGAGCAATACAATAGTATACAACTCTTTTTTTTTTTTTTACACAAATTGGTACAAGAACAGGCGACTTCTGAGTCCAGTTAGCAGGCTGAGACCTTTCCCTTCTCATAGCTCATGGTAAGCCTTGCCAACTAGTTTTTAAACTCATGATCCTTACACAAGCGGAATTATAATACTCTATAATAATATAGAGAAGAATACACATTGAAAACCTCTTGCTATCATTAAGGAACTCTTAAAGTATTTCCGCTAAAATTAGGGAATTCCGCACATTTTCCAATAGTAAATTTGGGAAATAAGTATTTAATGAATAATTATAAATGATATTTAATAGTCAGAAGTAAAGGAGTTTGTATCAGCTTTCATAACACTTATGATTACTAAACAACACATCAGAAGATGGAAAAAACGACGACGTTTCAGTCCGTCTTGGACCATTATCAAGTATCACACAAGACGTGGTAATGTTCTAGGAAGGACCGAAACGTTGTCGTAACTTCATCTTCTGATATGTGGTTTAAACATCATATCTTCAGCCACGTTATTGTGACTCGTCGTCAGCATGTTCTCTATAGTACCTCAGAGTCCTCTATAGTACCTCAGAGTCCTCTATAGTACCTCAGAGTCCTCTATAGTACCTCAGAGTCCTCTATATTACCTCAGAGTCCTCTATAGTACCTCAGAGTCCTCTATAGTACCTGAGAGTCCTCTATAGTACCTCAGAGTCCTCTATAGTACCTCAGAGTCCTCTATAGTACCTCAGTGTCCTCTATAGTACCTCAGAGTCCTCTATAGTACCTCAGAGTCCTCTATAGTACCTCAGAGTCCTCTATAGTACCTCAGAGTCCTCTATAGTACCTCAGAGTCCTCTATATTACCTCAGAGTCCTCTATAGTACCTCAGAGTCCTCTATAGTACCTCAGAGTCCTCTATAGTACCTCAGAGTCCTCTATAGTACCTCAGAGTCCTCTATAGTACCTCAGAGTCCTCTATATTACCTCAGAGTCCTCTATAGGACCTCAGAGTCCTCTATAGTACCTCAGAGTCCTCTATAGTACCTCAGAGTCCTCTATAGTACCTCAGAGACCTCTATAGTACCTCAGAGTCCTCTATAGTACCTGAGAGTCCTCTATAGTACCTCAGAGTCCTCTATAGTACCTCAGAGTCCTCTATAGTACCTCAGAGTCCTCTATAGTACCTCAGAGTCCTCTATAGTACCTCAGAGTCCTCTATAGTACCTCAGAGTCCTCTATAGTACTTCAGAGTCCTCTATAGTACTTCAGAGTCCTCTACAGTACCTCAGAGTCCTCTATAGTACCTCAGAGTCCTCTATAGTACCTCAGAGTCCTCTATAGTACTTCAGAGTCCTCTATAGTACTTCAGAGTCCTCTACAGTACCTCAGAGTCCTCTATAGTACCTCAGAGTCCTCTATAGTACCTCAGAGTCCTCTACAGTACCTCAGAGTCCTCTACAGTACCTCAGAGTCCTCTATAGTACCTCAGAGTCCTCTACAGTACCTCAGAGTCCTCTACAGTACCTCAGAGTCCTCTACAGTACCTCAGAGTCCTCTACAGTACCTCAGAGTCCTCTACAGTACCTCAGAGTCCTCTATAGTACCTCAGAGTCCTCTATAGTACCTCAGAGTCCTCTATAGTACCAGGAAAAAAGAAACGTTTACCTTGTGGTTCGGAGACGACGGTCCCAACCAGGAGGCTGAACACCACGATCAACACAATGCTCCACCTGAAGGCACACACAGGGTCAAACGGTTGCTTTGGCTAAAACAACATTACACATAAACAAACAGTTATTGAGAGATTTAATTTAAATAAATTATTGTGTTAAGAAGCAAGAGTCACTACATCAAATGACGGACATCAAGAAATCAGGACTCAGGAACTGGAGCCCGTCCCAGCGAGCATCTTCTTGAGTTATCTTGAGTTGATTTCGGGGCTTTAGTGTCCCCGCGGCCCGGTCCTTGACCAGGCCTCCACCCCCAGGAAGCAGCCCGTGACAGCTGACTAACACCCAGGTACCTATTTACTGCTAGGTAACAGGGGCATCCAGGGTGAAAGAAACTTTGCCCATTTGTTTTTGCCTCGTGCGGGAATCGAACCCGCGCCACAGAATTACGAGTCCTGCGCGCTATCCACCAGGCTACGAGGCCCCTATCCGAGAATGGTAAATCAATGTGCAGTAAACCGGTCCTGGTGGGAAAATACCCGAGAGTCCATCAGATGAAGACGTGTTTTTACCTTGCTACATTACTGGACCTGGCAGGCCTTCACCACATCAGTGTATAGAGGCTCAAGGTGCTCGTGGGCGTTCATATCTCGACCTTTGACACAGCAAAAGACTTGTCTCACACACATATACGAACGCCCACACGCCGCCTCTTCCCCCACATATATATATATATGCACTTTCATGTCCTCTACTCTGCCCCATCAATACGACAACTACACCCCATTACTCTTCCATACCCATGTCCCCCCTCGATCATACACATCCACTCGTTCTACAATATTTCTATCTTTAACCTTTGACACCTTCTTCTCCGCGCCCTACGTCAGCGTCCCCCACCTGCAAGTCCACACTCCCCCACCTGGACTTCACTTCCCACTGTCCCCACCTGTACCCTAAGCAAAGTTGCAGACCTTGAAGTAAACAAAAAAATGTATAAAATAAACCAGAAATGCAATTATTATCACATCTTAATCCAGTTCATCGCGCAGGATGCCTCAAGGAGACACGTCCGCAGGAAATGGCAGATGAAATTTATAGATGAGAGCGATAATAAATTTAAAGTAGAACAATATTATAAATATAGCCATTTTCTCATCACATTTGAAGCAAAGACAATCAACTTGGAAAATATTTAGGCTGGGCACTTTTAGAAGCACACTTTTTCCTATTGACTATAAATCAGCAAAGACTGCAATGAGTGCTGTGTATCTTTGATTGTAATTATATGCTAGTGGAGTGGCCAAGTCTCACTGATCCAGCATTCCTTCACTCTCCAGTAATCACTAAGATAAAACTCAGTGCAATAAACTTTGATAATAATGTAAATTGTTTGTTATCTCTAAACTTTCTCAAAACTGCTGAACTATATATATCTTTGTTATGACGATGTCTCCTTTGATTTCGTCCTTCTCCTGAATCTTCAGAGGGCTCGTAATGTCTAGTGTGCTACACACACACACACACACACACACACACACACACACACACACACACACACACACACACACACACACACACACACACACACACAAAGTGGTTGATTGACGGTTGAGAGGCGGGACCAAAGAGCCAGAGCTCAACCCCCTCAAGCACAACTAGGTGAGAACACACACACACACACACACACACACACACACACACACACGCGCGCACACACACACACACACACACACACACACACACACACACACACACACACACACACAGAGGGGCCTGATAGCCTGGTGGATAGCGCGCAGGAATCGTAATTCTGTGGCGCGGGTTCGATTCCCGCACCAGGCAGAAACAAATGGGCAAAGTTTCTTTCACCCTGAATGCCCCTGTTACTTAACAGTAAATAGGTACCTTGGAGTTAGTCAGCTGTCACAGGCTGCTTCCTGGGGTGTGTGTGTGTGTGTAGTGTGGAGAGAGAGAGAGAAAAAAAAAGTAGTTAGTATACAGATGATTGACAGTTGAGAGGCCGGCCGAAAGAGCAAAGCTCAACCCCCGTAAACACAACTAGGTGAATACATGCAGCTCCAGCCTGGAGTCCATACTTAGTTAAACACAAGACAAAATTAGAGAAAATTCTACGGTATGCCACCAGACTCGTCCCGGAACTGAGAGGTATGAGCTACGAGGAAAGGCTAAAGGAACTGAGCATCACGTCCCTGAAAAACTGAAGAGTAAAGGGAGACATGATAACCAACTGCAAAGTTCTCAAGGGAATTGACAGGGTGGACAAAGACAAACTCTTCAGCACGGGTGGGACACGAACAAGGGGACAGAGGTGGAAACTTAGTATCCAGATGAGCCACAGAGACATTAGATTTTTTCAGTGTAGGAGTAGTTAACATATGGAATGCATTAAGTATTTACCAGTCTCCGTGGTGTAGTGGTAAGACACTCGCCTGGCGTTCCGCGAGCGCTTTGTCATGGGTTCGTATCCTGGCCGGGGAGGATTTACTGGGCGCAAATCCTTAACTGTAGCCTTTGTTTAACTCAACAGTAAAATGTGTACTTGGTTGTAACAACGATTATTCGCGGCGGGGATCGTATTCCAGGGACCTGCCCGAAACGTTACGCGTACTAGTGGCTCTACACGAATGTAACAACAAGAGTTGTTACAAAAAAAAAAAGTAGTGATGTGGTGGAGGCTGACTCCATACACAGTTTCAAATGTAGATATGATAGAATCAGATCAGGAATCTGTACATGAGTTGATTGACAGTTGAGAGGCGGGACCAAAGAACCAGAGCTCAAACCCGCAAGCACAATTAGGTGAGTACAACTAGGTGAGGTGAGTACATGGTACGCGAACAAGGTGAAACAGGTGGAAACTGTTTCCTGGGAGTTAGACAGCTGTTACGGGCTGCTTCCTGGGTGTGTGTACTCACCTAATTGTGCTTGCGGGGGTTGAGCTCTGGCTCTTTGGTCCCGCCTCTCAACCGTCAATCAACAGGTGTACAGGTTCCTGAGCCTATTGGGCTCTATCATATCTACACTTCAAACTGTGTATGGAGTCAGCGTCCACCACATCACTTCCTAATGCATTTAGGAAGTGCATTAGGAAGTGTGTGTGTGTGTGTGTGTGTGTGTGTGTGTGTGTGTGTGTGTGTGTGTGTGTGTGTGTGTGTGTGTGTGTGTGTGTGTGTGTGACAGAAATATATAATATCTATCATAAAGGAAAATAGGTCTGGAGTGTGTATATTAGACAACCGATGGTTAGAGAGGCAGGGTCCAAGAACTAACAGCTACAGCTACTTGCACAAATAGCATATACATTCATACAAACACAACTTTTATGCAGGTACATACAAAAAATATTACACTCTGCCGAAATATGGCGCTTTGAGCCTTAACTACACTCTCAGCTTCCTGAGGTATCCCAGTGCCTACTGGGGCTAAGACATAAGCCGATATTAAAAACCAGTCAGTACCTCTTCATGTCGATGTTGATGAGAGACGCGTGCGGCTGCAGCGATGGCTGAGTGGGTACTGAGGAAGCGGGTACGCGCACAATCGAGATGAGTACGTGCGGAAGCTACAAGGCTAAGTAACGTTGTTGCCTTGTTGGCACAGGAAATGTTGGTGAGGAGGACGGGGGGGGGGGGGGGGGAGGACGAGTGTCTATAAGGCCAGGACAAAGCGTCCACCTGACTTACGGGCTCACCATAGCCCGTGCTACATAGACACTTCGTTCTGAGTAGCTAGATCTAAAGCAACGTCCACCTGAAAGTAACTGCCGGAATAATACTGGAATATCGCTATTTGTGTCACGTAACTCAAGGTAACGAATTGTCCACTATTGGGCACTGCAACTGTCCTCACTGTAAACATTAGCGAGGTCACATTCTTTAACATTATTTATGAATGCTCAGTTATCAATGTTTTCAGAACAAACATCACTTGACAGTTAGATATTTACAGCTAACAATGTACACATAGTCTACAAGAATTTGCTAGTGCTGGTTCATATACCAGCCCAACCTCAGAAGTTGTCACAACGTCAGAAAAAATGATGTACTAAATGGCCCCCGAATTAAATCTAACCGATGGATCCACGATCCATAATTATGCGAATGCAAGTGAATGCAACCATAATTATATATTTCTCTTAATCAGAGTTTGTTTCGTATCCCTTCTTCACCTCTTGTGGTGTTTATACTGAAGAGTGTTGACCAATACCCGCCTGGAGTGGTATTGTGGTATGATAGAGTTTTGTTCTGTACCATGCAGCTGACGGTGTTGTGATACCTCATATATCGCAGTATTTACCACCAGGAATCGTTGTTTCCATCCTCATTTGATAGTTTTTTCATTTTTTTACACGAATGTGTTGAAGAATAGACGACTGCTGACGTCTGCTTGCAGGCAGAGAGCGCTTTCCCATCCTGATCTTCAAGGTAAGTTTTACCCACTAGTTTCCCCTGGAATGCGACCCTCCAGTCGTTTAACAACCAGGTACCCAAACTCTGTTGGGTGAACAGAGGCCTACATTTAACTACAGTATGCCTAATCAACAATACAATTGACAGTTATTCAAATCAAATCAATCAAATCAAATGTTTATTCAGGTAAAAGTATACATCGAAGATTAGTTACAAACATAATGTTGGATTTATAGATAGAGCTAGTACATACAATACCTAAAGTCACTAGTACGCATAGCGTTTCGGGCATTTATTGACAGTTGCCTAGCTAATTCTCCTTGGACAGGATACGAACCTTGGCCAAATCGCTCTCTAAGCGCAGGGCGAGTCTTGTTACTTGTTCCCTCAGGCAATTTTGTTTAAAACTTCTTATCAATAGATACGAAACACATGCCACGTGTTCCAAGTGAAGCACGTGACTTGGAATCTAGTTATTTGTAAGTGTTCTATACAGTCGAATATCCTGGAAGAGCGATTGTTTGCACTATGAGTGTTGAATGGAAGTTTACAGGCGTATGAATGGGTGTTTTCGAACCATTTATAACAGCATTGTTATAATATTTCTGTATAGCTGTTCAAAGGACAGTTTGATAGTTAATATTGCAATCCAAAGTGTGGAGGCATTATTAGTCACTCTTTGAATAGTGGAACAGGTATCCCAGTTTACATTTTTGCATGTTACCCACCCACTCCCTGGTAGGGTAATGAGCTTGCTAGTCAAACACTCTAGTAAATTCACAATGAAATAATATAACAGTGTTGACGTGGATGCTGCTGGAGGACTTGCGTTACCCGTGGAAGGTAACGAAAGGTTTTCATCAGAAACCTTCATTTAAGCCTATAAGACTGTGTAACACCTGGGAGGCATATGTGGAAGGAGTGAATGTAGTGTCCAACCTCTTGGACCATCGGTGATCGAACGCCGACCATGCAACAAGATAGGGCATCGCTGAACCCATCAGTCGAAATGGATAGACCAGTCGATAGAGTCATTCGTGTTTCTATAGCACTTACCAGGTCAGTCTTTGACTCTATGGAGGCCTGTAGCTCTCGGGGAAGGTAGAGTCATAACAAAATAGTGAAGGAACATTACAAGATAGTGAAGGTCACCTCATTATAAACTAACGGTAACCCAGATGCGACTATAGACCATTCAGACGCACATGTAAACTCCCACATCAGCGGTTTAGAGATAATATACTCACGTCTACATTCTGATATCGTCTCCAGGTCCTATTTTTTATTTCCACACTAAAAGAACACCATGATGAAAGGAATACAAACAAGAAACGAACACAAAACACGGAATAATTTGTCCACTGAAAAACGGAACAGGAACTTTATATATTTTTTTAATATTTTGTCCATTATCATCATACATCGTAAAATTATATCCGGTAATTAAATTCCACAAGTATTTTTCCAACAATGTAAATGTGATCTGATAAAAACCAACGAAAGAAAAAAAAAATACCAGACTCGTTCACGGCGCATGCAGACGCAAGTCCACCCACATGCACTCACACAAGCACACAAGGACGCACGCACGCACGCACGCACGCACACACACACACACACACACACAAACCTTTATTTTTATTCTTATTCTTTTATATATATATATATATATATATATATATATATATATATATATATATATATATATATATTATATATATATATGTCGTACCTAGTAGCCAGAACGCACTTCTCAGCCTACTATGCAAGGCCAAATTTGCCTATTAAGCCAAGTTTTCAAGAATTATTTGTTTCTCGACTACCTAACCTACCTAACCTAACCTAACCTAACTTTTTCTGCTACCTAACCTAACCTAACCTATAAAGATAGGTTAGGTTAGGTTAGGTAGGGTTGGTTAGGTTCAGTCATATATCTACGTTAATTTTAACTCCAATAAAAAAATTGACCTCATTCATAATGAAATGGGTAGCTTCATCATTTCATAAGAAAAAACGTAGAGAAAATATATTAATTCAGGAAAACTTGGCTTATTAGGCAAATCGGGCCTTGAATAGTAGGCTGAGAAGTGAGTTCTGGCTACTAGGTACGACATATATATATATATATATATATATATATATATATATATATATATATATATATAGGGTACCACCTCTGGTGCCAATGTGGGGACCCATAGCCTCGGAATATATATATATTCCGAGGCTATATATTATAGTATATATATATATATATATATATATATATATATATATATATATATATATATATATATATATATATATAATATACATTAATATACAGTATATATATATATATATATATATATATATATATATATATATATATATATATATATATATATATATATATAACTGAAAACTCACACCCCAGAAGTGACTCGAACCCATACTCCCAGAAGCAACGCAACTGGTATGTACAAGACGTCTTCTACATACCAGTTGCGTTGCTTCTGGGAGTATGGGTTCGAGTCACTTCTGGGGTGTGAGTTTTCAGTTGCATATTGTCCTGGGGACCATTCAGGCTTGTTCGCATATATATATATATATATATATATATATATATATATATATATATATATATATATATATATATATATATATATATATATATATATATTATTAAATATGACAGAAAAAGTAAGATTAATAATTCTAACGCGAATTTTCTCAATCTTTCGTACATTTCGTTTCACTGTTGGAGGTAAATCAAAAATCAATTCTCCAAAATTCATTTTTATTTCTAGTCTGACGCGACACGAGCGCGTTTCGTAAAACTTATTACATTTTCAAAGACTTTAGTTCACAAATACACAACTGAATAGAACTTACGCATCTCCGATTTTATATCTACATTTGAGTGAGGTGGAAGGGGTGATGTGGCATTAACACAAGACAGAACAAGATGTGGTATTAATAGGGTATGAATTTCATCAACAAAAGACAGAACAAGAGTATTAATAGGGTATTAATTTCATCAACACAAGACAGAACACGAAACAATGGATATTGAATAGAAGTGTTTGTAGAAAGCCTATTGGTCCATATTTCTTGATGCTTCTATATTGGAGCGGAGTCTTGAGGTGGGTAGAATATAGTTGTGCAATAATTGGCTGTTGATTGCTGGTGTTGACTTCTTGATGTGTAGTGCCTCGCAAACGTCAAGCCGCCTGCTATCGCTGTATCTATCGATGATTTCTGTGTTGTTTACTAGGATTTCTCTGGCGATGGTTTGGTTGTGGGAAGAGATTATATGTTCCTTAATGGAGCCCTGTTGCTTATGCATCGTTAAACGCCTAGAAAGAGATGTTGTTGTCTTGCCGATATACTGGGTTTTTTGGAGCTTACAGTCCCCAAGAGGGCATTTGTAGGCATAGACGACGTTAGTCTCTTTTAAAGCGTTCTGTTTTGTGTCTGGAGAGTTTCTCATGAGTATATATATATATATATATATATATATATATATATATATATATATATATATATATATATATATATATATATATATATATATATATATATGGCTGAAAGTCACTATTCAAGACAATAAGGGACAATATATTGAACGCCGCCAAGTTTTCTTGTCATGCTTGAACGTGAGTGATGTAATTGCATAGCTGTAGTCACATGGTGTCCGTGAGACCTGTGTCTAATATTGCACTCCGCCCTCTCTGGTACTCTGTCTTGTGCGTAGTGTCCTTGCTGCCGCCAGCCTCCATACATGCTGGCTCTAAAATTTAAATTTTTAGGAACAAAATGTCGTCTCTAGTTTTCCACTTTGCCGCTGAGGAAGAAGAGGTATTTGTGTTGCTTCCTGCGGTGCTGACGTAGGAGAGGGATGGACTTGAGTTGCTACCCGCGGTGTTGACGCAAAATGAACGGGTTACCCGAGATACGAGATTAAGCACAGGTGAAGACCGACAAGGTTAGGCCCCGTTGTTACCTTGCTGGTTCAGGAAACTTGTCCAGTAGGTGTGGGAGGCCAGGGCCGCCCACGCTGGTACATGGAGAGTGTGTGTGTGTGTGTGTGTGGTAGCCGCGGAGGAACACAACTAGGCTAAGATGAAGAGGTGCAGAAGGTCTAGTAGATAGAAGAAGTAGGAGAAACGGTAAGCAGTATGAGGGATAATGTTTTCCCTTACATTTTTTTGTTAATTATTGACTAGTATTCTTTACTCTGTTCAACGTAAAGGAAATGAAGTAGTGAATCACAGTAAATATTATATTAATATTTATATCTAGGCAAAAGTATCTTAGGGAAAGCCGGATATATCACTCAGATTCACCACTGAAATCACTCCAGTGGTTAGATTTATAGGGAACTATATTTTTAATGCAAAAATAAGAAGCGAAATAATTGTACCGGCAATGAGCTATTGCATTCGTGTGCACACCTCACGACAGCACCGAGAGCTCAACTAGAACTAGCACAAAAGGGCTGAGCTAGACCTAATAGAAAGGGCAGACCCAAGCCCAGCTGATAAACACAAATATAAATAATTATTATTTAACATGGGCGAGTTGATCGAGCAGCATCACTCATCCCTTCAGTGATGAGTTGCACCAACATAACAGCGTGAACAACAACCACCAGTTAGGAAGAAGATCCCAAACATTGTTCATTTTGCACTCAGACGCATCTAGGAAGAATTTATCAGACAATTCGTAGTGCATAATTTATCACGTGGCTGCAAAATGAAACTCTTTATCAAGACAGCGCAAAATTTGACCAAAAAATAAAACATTTCTTAAACCAAACAACGTAAAACTTTCCCCTAATTTTCAATATATTTTTGTGTGGAACAGTTTAATTGGTGTTGTTGAAATTGATGCTTTTATCAACTTTATTTCTTTCATTCTATTAGTTGTACAGTTTCTCTGCACAGCTTCACTCCTCCATACTGAATTATAATATGCAGTTGTGACTGTTGCTTAACTGTAGTGTGATGATGCCTCTGACTGGTAGATTAACCTTCATGGGTAGAATTCAGTATGATCTACTTTAGGATCAACGACTGTCAACAGGTCTTCTCGGTCATTTCCAACATTTCCTTAATTCGATGAGGAACATAGAGGAGGATCCTCGGTCAAGTGTGGCTGAGGAGTATTTCCTCACCTCCATCCAGGTAATCCGCTCATCCTGTTTTATGCCATTTTTTTTTTGTAAGTTATGTTATTTGGGTAGTAATTATGAACATAATTTATTGAAATACGGTATAAACTTTTTCAAGTTTGTCTGTTATGTGCAAGTGGTGATTGAGCTGCTGATTTTCATATATAAACTAAATTTCGTAGTTATATTAATGATTTATTAACTAATATATGCTCCAGCTAACTTTCGAACCAATTAATTCGAACCAATAAATCTATACTTAATTCTTACATACCTCTTAGCTAGACTTGCCAATCATTCTTGCAGCGCATTTACTTGCAACGAGATATTTCAAGACGTCATCATGACCTCAGGATGTCTTCTCGAATCGTAAATCATAGCGTTTCACTAAAGGGGGGGTCCCATTTTCTATTCGTCGGTTATCGATTAGGTTAGGTTCGGGCAACTGATGAACTCCGCAATATGGTGGGGTTTCAGTCTTGGGTGATCCCGGCTGAAATTAATGTGATGCGAAACTTTATACTAATTTTTTGACACTTTCAGGTCACACTTATATATTTTTTCTTCTCTTCGAAGATGTAAGCAAGTCGGAAGGGACAACTTGGCTTGTTTTGGTATATTTAAAAGAGCACATCTTACGACACTAATATTTGATATATTTTATAGTTTATTACCTGTTGGAGCATCAAGTGCAAGTGTTACATGTTGCATAGAAAATTATAGACAGATTAGGATGATTCAGGTAGATTGGAAGGATACAGGTAGATTAGGAGGATACAGGTGGATTAAGAGGATATAGGTGGATTAGGAGGATACTGGTAGATTAAGAGGAAATAGGTGGATTAGGAGGATACATGAGGATTAAGAGGATACAGGTGCATTAGGGAGGATTCCGATGGTTTAGTAGAATATTGGAGAATGAATGAAATACAGGTGTGTTTCACGAGTACAGGTGAGTGTCCCTCTAGCAGTGTTAGCCGGATTCATTTCAATTAGTTGATTCGCGTGGGTTAGAGGCATTGCCTTGCACCTGATGCCTCTGTTGACCTATCATTAAATAGGGGTCAGGTAGTATGATAACTGTTGTGAGTTGTATCCTGGGGAAGGTCAGTCGTTAACCTGGATGACCTTCAATATGGCTAACAGGCTATTTGTCCCCGGTGATGGTACACCATTCCACTGTCCGTATACTGACATATACCGTATATTAGTATACCATTGTTGGTGTGCTTGTATACGATTATGAGGTATACTAATATTGTCGATATACCAACACTAGTACACCAGTGTTGGTATACTGGTATATCATTATCGTTATACTGTTGTCGGGAGGGGAACAACTCCGACTACAGCATATCAGTCGCATTAACCATGAGTGATGGTGTTAACAGGGTCACCCATCCAGTTACTGAACAGACTCAGGGATACTTAACCTAAATTACCGCGTGACTCGTACAACCCCATCCTCTCACTCTCCCGCCTAACCCACAACGATTCCACATATCTTACTTACGTCATATAATTGATGGTTTAATAGCACTTTCATATAAAAAAAATCATGATTTGTCTGATATTCATATTCTACTATAATAAGAATTATTATAAAATCCGTAATTCAAACTAATGCAGGCCGTACTGATCTGGTTATATTAAAGAATTTCGGAAAAACTGATAACCTTAATAATACAAAATAGATTGCTGTGAAAGTTATTTATGAGGTCGGATGATATATTTCATCTGCAAACTGACAGAAAGTTTTACATCGAAGAGTTCCTGCAGAGATGCTACTGAACAAGCATGCCTATGATATTTGTGCATTGAAGTTTAGCTGAGTAAATGCTTTGGTATATATAACAACTTGTACAAAGTTTCCACGTCTTCTCATTTGAAGAGTCATATACAGTAAACTTTATGTTAGTATGGAAAGGTGGCTTGAGGGAAACCAGGCATTCAAGAGGTGGTCAAGTCCCGCGAATGATGATAGCAAGAGTACTCTGGGCTGCTACCCGATGGGTGGGCCTCGAACCGGGGATCCATGAAAGTGACAACATGGGTGGGGAGGTTTGATCCTGCAGTTTACTCTCACACGCATGCACAGCTCCCTCAGGCTCTCCCTTGGACCTGGGAAGTAATAATAATAATAATAATAATAATAATAATAATAATAATAATTTCACTCTTCATTACATAAAGTGTTGAGATTTATTTACATTTATATATATTTATAAATTTGTGTTTTTCCTAAATTATTTATGTTTAATTCTTATTAATTTATGTTAGATGTCATTTAAGTGCCTTTTATATAATATCTAACATGTTTTCTGGATATTATCCGGTGATAATGAAGTGCAGTAATCCCTCGTAATAAAAAAATTGTGTGCTGATATTTTCTTTGAAGGAAAGTCAAGTGTCATCAGATCATCACAAATTTCCATTAATATTCTAAAGTCCATCCTCCCTTTGATGAATATAGACTTTCACTGTTTAAATTAATATTTGTGTATTGGTGTTTTATTGTAAGTTTCTGTACCCCAAATCTTTTCCCCTATATATTAATAATTAACTCTCAAGCTAGATATCCTAATTATAACGATTAATCATATAAATGTATGTAGTATACATTAATTAAAGCTTATTCTAATGGGGTTATATTTTATCCAGTGGAGTGTGGCTTGGCCAGTTAATCCAGCATGGTTGCACATTACCCATTAGATTTACTGGTACTTCTAAGAGGGGTTTTAATTTAATATTACCACCTTATGTCTTAATAGTTTGGCAGTAAAGCAGATTTAGTGACAGCCACTCTCCAAGTTCAGGGACAACTCTGTCACTCCCAGTACAGTTACCTCTGTTACCCCAAGATCAGGAACACCACTGTCACTCCCAGTATAAGGACACTACAGTCATTCCCATTACATGGTCACCTTCCTAGTACAGTTACCACTCTCACCCGCAATACAGGGTCTCACCCAGTAATGGAACACTCCCAGAACAGTCACCAATACATGGTTTTAACACCTCACTCCTCTATCATCACCCGTATCAGTAAAGGACTTAGGACGCTCTCAGATATAATACAAAATTTTTTGAATTTTTCATATATATATTATAATTAATAAATACTGCAATTTTATATCTGTTTACATTGAAGCAGTAAATTATACATAATAGACTGAGGCGAAAAACTGTCGACGATGCACAATGACATTTACCATTACTAAGCAAAACTAAACAAAAATAGAATATATGAAACGGAAAAAAATATATAAAATTATTTCCCTGAGATATATGCTAAGAAGTGATTAAATTGACAGTTATTCATAGACAATATTTTTGTAGAGAAAACATTCTGGCATGTGAGTAGTCCAATACACCATTCCATTCAGACATTGACAGAGTGTTCAAAGTCGAGTGTGCGTTCGAGGTCAAGTTAGTTTGTGTTGCTGTTCGGTGTCTATCTCGAGGATTGACTGGGGTGGTTGTTGAATGCGGCAACACGGGTGTGTAGCCCTCTCCCCACACCTCACCCTCACCCGCTTACACAGCTCTACCAGGCTCTTTTTTGAAACTAGGAAAATAGATGACATTGAAAAATATTAATACAAATAATAATATAAATATTATTAAATAAGAAGTAATAATAATAACGATTACTAATGTCTCCACTAAAATGAAAAGCTGACAAATTCATTCTTGCTCAACATAGATAAGAATTATTTATTGTTACATTTAATTTGGCTTAAGATAAAACTTGTCTCTCGTCCTCAGTGCATACAAATGCTATAGTTTTCAAGGTTACTGAAGTCATTGATTCTACAGCGAAGTGACTTTGATTTAAAGTCATTTTGCTGTAGAATCAAAGTCTTTGACGAGATGAAAAGTTCTTCACTTCTTGAAAACAATCTAAGTACCGGTTCTCGTGAATAATTATTCATATAAGGAACATTACTGGATAGTTCAATTGGGTCACACCTGTGGAACATTTGCTTGCAGGATACTACGTGGAACTTTTTAGAGATCTATGCATACACTGATGATTACATACTGAGTTTGAATAAAACCATCAAAGGAAACTCAAATAACATTAATTAAATTTGTAAAAACATATAGTTCAGATGGTACATGCAGTCTCCATATATATTCCATCCAACTAGTAGATTAAATAAGATCAACTATATGTATAATCCCACACTTAAATGAACTAGGAAGCTCCGCTGTACAAATACAAATCATTGTTCTTAGTGTATTACTCTTCAAAGCTCACAAGCTACAACGATCTTGAACTCAAGTGATCTGAAATTCTAGCAGACTATTGTATGACACATCTGAAGTCCATCGTCTAGAAACCATTGAAATGACAGCATGAGATAATGAATGTATCACCGGATGTGGAGGAAACTGTCACTACAGTGAAAAATTCCCAGATCAAAAGACACCAGAACACGTAAACATTAACTCTATCTAAGCATATCTACTGAAACTGATCTAGTGTGCAGCTAACCACAAGGATTAATTAGATATTAGAAAAAATTACATTTTCTTACATAAAAAAAGACTTGATAATTTTAACTAAGTTCCCATCAAAGTCTTAATTGGGAGAACATAAAGCAAAGGCAATAGAGTACACAACATTACGTTTCTATTACACATTTACACTTAAATATTACCATTATGCGGTGAGATATAGTCTCAGAACAAAATATATTATACCTTGTGGTTCAGAGAGGACGTCCGCGACCAGGAGACACAACACCAACACCATCACGACGGAACACCTGCACGGAAACACTTATAATGTTATGTTCCACAATGTTATGCGGCAATTGGTTACACAAATCAACAACCCTGTTACTGAACCAGTATTTACCCAAGTCTTTCCTAAATCTAAACTTATCTTAACAGCGGCTAGGACACAGCGGGGGAATAGCATTTTATTCACTATGAACCTTGGAGTTTCGACCAGGGATTTAGACGATGGATTCGCAGTTTTGTGGCCTCAGGTCGAGGCTTAAAGGATCCTAGTGAATAAATTATATGTACATGAATGTAGAGTCGGGGTACTACTACCTCTGGAGCAGGTGTAAGGACCCATAGCCTCGGGGAAGACAATAAAGGGTATTCAGAGAAGACCTTTTAGATTCTTCCTGAACACTTGAGTATTTTCTTCTCCAACTTCTCCTACGTTTCTATTATTTTATTCAATATGATTTATTTATATTATTTATTTTATATATGTGTTATTTCTTTGTCTTACAGTTTAACGAGAATACAAACACACACACACACACACCACGGACAGATACATGCACAGATATCTCAATACAGAGACAGATACAGTCTCAATACAGTACCTCAATAAGTAATATACCTACGACCATTTTTTTACTACTTGTAATTTCAGTAAGTCATATAATAAAAATGCTCCTGAGTTTGCTCTGTGTATCAAGCTTGCAGTAAAGTGTCAGTGTTCACACACACAAGTCTGAGGCCCACCTACTGGGTCTTATGAATAAGTTGTGCACAATCTCCACTCCCTTACTTACTTTTTCATGATGCCGCTGGTGGAGTGAGACTCGTGTCTTGACGCAACGCTGGCTGAGTGGAGACTGGCAGAGCGAGGAACACAGGGTCGTAGAAGTCGTCCAGCTGGATACCGCCAAGGTTAAATACCGGTGTTGCCTTGCTGGTTCAGGAAACATGGGAGGGGTGAGGGAAGACCGGAGGGGTCTTGGGGTTCGCTGAGGATGAAACGTCAGCAGTGTTTGTGGTAGTGGATGGAGTAGTCGAGGAGAAGGAGGCTCTTATCTCATTTTATTTATATAGTCTTAGCTTTTATTAAATTAGAAGAACACGGTATATGAATAAAAGACAAAGTTCTTTTAATAATTTCGATATTTTGTCGGTTTTTAGTACTCAATGAATCCGTTTAATGGCTTCATTTCATTACTTACAAGCTTCTTGATTTCATTACAGAAAAATGTGAGAGGAACTGAAGCAACATAATCTGTTTTGGACCGGACTTAGGTCGTGAAAGGCAATTTTATTATAGTAAAAGATGCCTCCAGTGTTCACCATGAATTATAGTTGAGAGATTTCAGGAAAATTCTGCACGTACTGACGTAGGGATAACCGCTACATACCTTGGGGCTACACTCTTAAGAACCCTAAAGGTAACATTAACTTGTCTCAGATGAATAACACCTGACAGGACACTGCATCCTGTTTACCATGTGTCATACAAGTCGTCAGGATCTGTCCAACCAGAGTGTCCTACCATGTCTGTGTAACAGGCTATGTAAGAATTGGTAAAGGATGTTAAGAAAGTTTGTATTATATTATAGAAAATGTGATTTAAAATGACCATTTTATATTTACTAAGCTTGATCTCTGCTAAAATTATATTAGCATGTAGAATCCATCCATTATGACCTTATGGTAAGGCAGTTTTCTGCCCACTAAGCAGTCCTCTTGACAACTATATATTCAGCTAATTTTAAATCACAAGAACCTGTGCCAAGTAAAAAAAAAAATATGATAAAATACTATAACTTCCTCGGACTTTTCCTTCAGCTAAACTGTTAACACCTCCATCAAATTTACTAGTGTATTTAAAATGACATTAAGTTGGTTTTTATTAATGGAAAAATAAATTTTCACATGGAAGTAAAAATTATGAAGAAGTTCATCAGGAAATTCGCTTCTTTTGCATTTCGCCCCTTCAAAAAAGTAAGCAAATTTCATTCATAATGAGAATTCTCATTCTCATTCAAAAAATTCTAATAACCCAAATCTACACATAATCAGAAAAAATGAAAGGATGGTGTTTCCTTTCCTTTTTCTTAATAGGGTCGGCACTGGACCCCTATCAACAGGCCACTGAGGTATACGGAAATTTTAAAGCAGATTTTTGCATTTCAATATATCAACGCATTTTCTATAAATGAGACTTTGAAGAAATGCGGTCGCTGATTTTCTCTAGTCTATTGCTGGACTGATACTAGACTTCTAGAGATAGGAGCCACGGAACAAGTTGTTTATGATGCCCTTGACGTCTGAGAACTTCCAGCCCCGAGCGATATATTCAAAATAATTTTGCCTTCATCGTGTTCATGTATGAAAAATATTATTTTCACTTTACAAAATTCTATGAAAAAGGTTTGGAGGGCACTCATTAATATTATATTGTTTTCAGGAAACCCGATTTCTCCTCACTAGTATAGGGGAAGGTTTTAGGATGCTTTGGATTATAAATACAAATGAATGCCTGATGAATGATTTTTTAGGATGCTGATGATTTTTAGGATGCTTTAGGATTATAAATACAAATGAATGCCTGATGAATTTATCGTATTTATATATTTAACTATAAATCATTACAAATTCAGGAATTAACACTAATGGAAAGTGTATTTCTCTAATTTCATTTACACCCTTCAGCAAACCGTCCGAGGTAAAAACAGCAAAATAAACTACAGCAAAATATTTTATGAGGTTGGGTGAGATTTGTACCACCTGGCCATAGAACTCAATACAAAAGCTTTTGCGTAGAGATGCGATTGAACCGGCTATTCAATCTAAATTTTTAAGGGAAGTGAAGCAGAGGAAAAAATGCCTGAAAAAACAAATATATAGAAAACAATTCAGCATCTCATGCAGCATGACGGGAAGCAATAATTCTCAGGTGGTGTGTGTCGTGTGTGTACAGTCCCAGAACACACAGGCTGGCTATCCCAGATAACCAGGGCGCGGGATCAGGGTATCCCTGGGCATGTAGCAACACCCGTGGACAGGCGGCCGCCCGTTTTGGGGAGAACAGTCAATCCTCAGCAGCGGGCACAGGTTAGGAACCTTGTATCTTGGAACTGGAAATAATAATAATTATAATAATAATAATGAAAATATATATAATATTAAAATAATAATAATGATACAAACATATTAATAATACATATTACAAACATAATAATAATACATATTACAAACACATTAATAATACATATTACATAATATAAATAATATTAATAAAGAATGATAGATGCAGTCTAAGGTACAGTTCCAAAATCGTTTGTGTAAACATAAGTTGCATTTCAAGACTATAGCCACGAATATTTATTTCTTTATTATTATATATTCAAGAAGGTACATTGTGTTGAGAGAGTAAATATAACATTGGTGTTTGAGCTTTACATTCTTGCAAAGCCTTTTACCAATTGCAAAACCTCTTGCAAATCGGAGAACGCATGAAGGAAGCGACCATTGACCCAGACGAGGTAGCTGCTGCTTGAGTTACAGCCCCGCTCCTGTGCCAGGTAAATCCACTACGGGCTCACCTTAGCCTGTGATACTTGCAACTTTGGTTCCGAGAAGCTGAATCTAAAACAACAAACGACAGCTGCTGCTTACACTCAACTCCTCCTCCCCCTTGCGTTCTTCTTCAACCCATGCCTTAGACTAACCAGTGAGTGATTCTATAATACTACTTTGAAAATTGTACGTAGCTATTGTGTTCCCTTTTTAAACACCAGTTTGTTTACACTCCATTAGAGTTTCCTTGAAGTTTGTAAGCTAGAACTGCATTTGTTGTCTACAGTTATCGGAAGCAATGCACGGCTTCTGTAGTTCCATTGAAGACTGCTGCGTTCTTAGCAATATATAAATACAATACACACAGAAATCACAATAGCGTGATGCATCAAATGAATTTCAGCTTCAGAATTTCTACTAATAATTAGAGATACATTTTACAATTTGATTATGTAATTTGTATATGGTTGAATAAATAAATAAATAAATAAATGTTTATTTAGGTAAGGTACATACATACAAGAGATTTTACAAAGTTTGTTGGATTAATAGATAGAGTTAGTACATACAATGCCTAAAGCCACTATTACGCAAAGCGTTTCGATTTACCTCTGGTTTCTTTGGTTCCTTTTCCAAGTCTTTTCCTTTTAAAAAAGGTCCCCATATGTCAATCTCTAGAGTGTAACAAAGTAATAAGCTTTACTGATGTCTAGATAAATAAAATCATGGTCATTATGAATCTTATTTTTTAAGTAAAACGAAAAATAACGAGATTGTATATTAGTCAATTATCGATCATACTTTTGTGAAATCATATATGTGCTAATTTGTGTTTTACCAGATGAATGTTATCAGCGTTTGTATTAATTAGTTCAAATAACTTCGTCAAATTTGACGATAAACTAATTAGGCCATAACTTAGGCCAGTATATCGTGTTATACATATCAATTATATCGTGTGAAAATTAGTTTTACATTCACAACTCTCTGCATTTCTTATAATCCCAAATTAATTTTTTTAATTTATTTTACAAAGTTTGCATATGTTACTCTTTACATTTTTATAAGACCTAGATAAATATTTTCTTGTGTCTGGAGACTCTCAATATTGTTTCCCACTAGTTTACGAGCTTCTATCTCTCGCCCCATAATCATAAATTTTATTGATACATTTTACCTGAAAATAAATAGAAAATTAAGATACGGTCGTATGATGGAATTCAATTTATGTCTTAAAAGTTGTATACGTTCCCATGAGAACTTACTTTGGGGAGCGCAGACAACTGCCCCGACCACCAGACTCACCACCAGCACCAGGGTGCACAACCTGAAACTTAACAGTCATATATTAATATATAATAGATGAAACATAGGTAATATTTCACATGTAGGAAAGTGGGGCCCAGAAGCTGAGGCTCAACCTTGAAGACACATCTGGATAAGTACAGAAAAATAGAAGTACCACCTGTCTGATAAAAAAAAAGATAAATTATCAGGTGAAAGCGCCAAGCCATTACAACTATATAGCACTGGAAAGGGATTAGGATAAGGATTTGGGATGGGACGGGGGGAAAGCAATGTTGCCCATAACCACTTGAACGGTCGGGGATTGAACGCCAACCTGTATGAAGCGAGACCGTCGCTCTACCGTCCAGCCCAAGTAGTTGGGCACCACCTGTCTGAGAAAATCCAATAGTTAACCGGATGCTGCCACCTGTGGACAGTCTCGTCTCCAGTACAAGCTGGTTTACAACGAACCGGTGTAAAGCCCCAAGATGCTTGAGGGATAAATATCTTGACCTTCAGGAAACCCCCGAGGTGTGTGTACATCTGTTCCAGTAACTTAAGATTCGGGGAAAAAACATACGTGCAATCCCTCACAAGTAGAACTACCTGTGATTGCCTGTGCCCCATACATACTACTAGCATTTGTGCTGGAACTTATACACCTGCTCCTTAGACCCCTCCCCTCATCTCTCTCTCCTCCAGATCCCTCCATCACACTCACTCTATCATGCTTACACTCCATAATGCTCTCGTTTTCACTCACACATACACTCTGTCACATTCATGCTTAAACTACATCACGCTCATACATACTCCTCATCAGACTTGCACTCCATCACGCTCATACTCACTCAAGTTCACACTTCTCTCCCCCTAACATCAGCACTGGACGAGGTCACCACCCCACCAAGCTCCCACCACCGCCTCCCAGTAGCACAAAAGATCCAGTTCACCAATATTAACCAGACTCAGCAATAAAACACTCTGATTTCGACATTCGAAATGCACATTCTCCCGTCTTCTGATAAATGGTGTATTGTCTATTTTCCAATTTGTATTCATCCCCAGGGAGATAATATGCTGTATTATACACACTTAATTGATATTTGCATTAACAGTAAGGGAGGGAACTTCAGAACGACTTTACACACACCAACATACACATACAAAAAACAATGCACTTTGCCAAATATAATATATATATATATATATATATATATATATATATATATATATATATATATATATATATATATATATATATATATATATATATATATATATATATATATATATATATATATATATATAAACAGGCCAAATGGGATAGCCCCATAGTGGAGAACACATTGCTGGAGGTAGCTTCAGGGATGAACAAAGCACGTCTCCTTGCTGTACAAGCCCCCCATGTTGGGGACTTCCTGTTGGCTGTCCAAAATTTGGCCTTGGGCAACCGCCTTCAACATTGGTTAAAGGCAGATTCCCAAAGTTAAACATTGTCATTATACTTATATGTATAATATTGGCAGGCAATACATAGTGTCTGACTTTTCACTTGGAATTTTTCGGAACAGCGAAAGCCTCGCTTCTTGAATTTTTTGAATCAATCTCCGATGGATGATCCACGTGGTTGAGCACCCAATTCCAACTAACATATCTTCATATTACTTCCAAGTAATATATAATCACATTGGCTTTGTACTTTCTCTTCACAATATCTTTAACGTACAGAAAGCATTAATATGTTATTCATGCTCCTCAAGACTTCAATGTGTGAAGGATAATTTATCACCCTATGTCAGTGTTCACTGACAGGTGAGCTTTTCATTACTCTTCTGAATAATGCTTTGTGTTGTATATCCGGACCTGCTTTTTTTATGAATACAATAAGAAGAGACTACCTTTTCATGTTTCCTATGATGGGGCGAGACTCGTGTTGTGCTGCTGTGCTTGACAGGTGATGACTGGAGGAGAGGGTTCATACAGACAACGTTAAATACCTCTGTGACTTTGCGTGCACAGGAAACGTAGGAGAGGAGACGGTGATAACTATGATGATAGCTGGGAGGAGGTGGACGAGAAGGAGGAGGAGTGAAACTATATTGATGGCATGGAGTTAGGTTAGACTTCATAAGATTGAGTTTTGTCGGACATGGTTGAGTTAGGCTTGGTTAGGTTTGGTTAGATTAGGTAAGCTTAGTGGTGGTTGTGGTGGTGGTGACAGATCTAAGAAGGCGGAGTGAGAGGAACTTAAACGGCTCGATCGATATTTATCGATAAATAAATGAGAAATGTTTTATCATTTCGTAAGAGCAAGAGAAAATTTGGTTTAATGACAAAGACAGAGATTTTGCAATTGTAAAAGAACAGCTAAGACCACGTTGTGTGATCGACAGCATCAAGAACAGCTTGTGTAACCTTCTACAGCAGCAAGAACAAAAGTTATGTTCATTTTACTGCAATAATAAAGACGCACTTAAAGTCTGACAGAGCGAGAAAGCTTTACTCATTTTACAGAGGTATGCGAAGGCGTTTCTCGTATTTTGCAACACTGTGGCTAGAAAAATGTTTTTTTTTCACACCAGCATGATAAAACTTTTGCAAATTTTTACGATAATTCGAATGAGTTATGGTTAAGTTACAGCAGTGTGAGAAAGAGCTTTAACTCATTGTACAAAAGATAAAACAAGGTTTTATTATGAAAGTGAAAACACGATTAGACTCTAGAACTTGAACGGGAATAAATATTGAAATGAATAAATAATAATCAAATAATAAGTAATATACGAGTAAATGACATATTTAAACAAACCTTTATAAACATATATATGAGAAAAGACTTATAATTAATAATACGAAGAATAATATTATTTTTGTCATTATTATTATTATTAATATTATTATTATTAGCAGTAGCATTATTCTTTATTCTCTCTCTCTCTCTAACCACTTTGAGTCTATCATACCTAAGGTATGATATATAATATTTTATTTAGTTTTTGGATATCAGTGCAAAAGGTTTTACTATATAGTAAGAAAAATATTAGTGTTTATTATTTTTGTACGTTTAAAGGTCCAGCCGATGCCTGAATCGCCAGGAGAGGTTAACAGATTTCCAGTTGACACAGTACCAGTTCATTGATAGCGAGCACGACCTGGCTGTGTTGAGCAAGCGTCCCATAGCAATAACACTGGAAAATTATTTGAGACTAGCCCCACACATCTGGGCCTCCAATCTCGACCTAAAATTTATTAAATCCATAGTTACAAGTTAATACCTGGTAAATAGACATATTTGTTAATAAATTAATATACAGGCATATTAATGTGTTTACATTCTGTTTCACGTTTTGCTTAGCAATGTAATCAAAACAACAGTTATAACACTGACTTTCAAAACATGAAGTAAAAACAGACTAGTATCAGAGGCGCTGCAAGTCAGTAAACTCATCCTTAGAGGGCAAGGATGAGTTTATCCTTTTTAGCTGGAGAAGCAGCTCATCCTTTTTAGCTGGAGAACAAAGACGTTTGGTTGCTACAGTCAGCGCTGTCGGCGAGCGTTTCTCAAGATGCAAGATAGCCAAGATATATATATATATATATATATATATATATATATATATATATATATATATATATATATATATATATATATATATATATATATATATATATATATATATATATATATATATATATATATATATATATATATACACACACATAGGGGTACCACCTCTGGTGCAATTGCAGGGACCCACATCCTCGAAGAAGAAAACAAAGAGCTATCAGAGAAGATCTTGTGGATTCTCACTGAACACTTTAATCTTTTCTTCTACCACCCCTATTATTTTTTGTATATTTTGTTTTGTTTTCTTCTCTTTTCTTTTATTGCAATGCTACAGTTCACAGAGAATACACACATATATATAACAATATAACAATCAGCGTTCGAAGACCTCGTCCAGCTCCTCGGAGGTTGGGTGTGTACCCAGGATACAGCCCGCATTTCCCCTTTGAACTGCGACACTGAGGCGCTGGAACAGGAAACTGGCCGCTCGTGTGTCTCTAGTTTTCCCAATGAGTTCCTCACCCACCTCCTTTAGGAACTTAAGTGCACATTTGCCCCTGGCTCCCAGAGTCTCAGAGCCTATCGGCACGAACCTGTAACAACGTTCTAAGTCTCTGTACTTGTTGATTTTCTGGGTATCCCTGAAGGTGGCTGCCTCACCCTCACTCCGCTGAGCTGTAACGTAGATAGGTATCAGCCTATCAGATAGGTATATATATATATATATATATATATATATATATATATATATATATATATATATATATATATATATATATATATATATATATATATATATTTATATATATATATACATATATATATATATATATATATATATATATATATATATATATATATATATATATATATATATATATATATATATATATATATATATATATATATATATATATATATATATATATATATATATATATATATTTATATATATATATACATATATATATATATATATATATATATATATATATATATATATATATATATATATATATATATATATATATGTATATATATATATAATATATATATATATATATATATATATATATATATATATATATATATATATATATATATATATATATATATATATATATATATATATATATATATATATATATACATATATATATGTATATATATATATAAATATATATATATATATATATATATAGTACTTAAGTTTTATAACTACTTGAATATTTTCTAAAAACAAATATTTACATATAATATCATCAGATTAAATCCCGGTAATGTTGAGCGTTCAACTCTGCTGAAATACTGTTCACTAATAACTTTGATATTTTGCATATTTTGTTTTCCATGTGCTGGCTGGCTACAGCTGTGTGTGGAGATAGCACAGGCTTACTACAGATGTGTGAAGACAATACAGTCTCAACACAGGTGTGTCAAGACAACACAGGCTCACTAAATTTGTGTGATGACAACATGGGCTGACTGCAACTATGTGAAGACAACATGGGCTGACTACAGCTGTGTAAAGACAACATGGGCTGACTACAGCTGTGTAAAGACAACATGGGCTGACTACAGCTGTGTAAAGACAACATGGGCTGACTACAGCTGTGTAAAGACAACATGGGCTGACTACAGCTGTGTAAAGACAACATGGGCTGACTACAGCTGTGTAAAGGCAACATGGGCTGACTACAGCTGTGTAAAGACAACATGGGCTGACTACAGTTGTTCGCGGAAGTAACAGAAGCAACACACTGAGAAATAACACTAAACGAGTGCAGTATCTCCTGAGTGAAAGCCTCGAGGGCGAGTGAATCGTGGCGTACCCCAGGCGGTCAGCGGACGTCGGTGTCACCGTGTTTAAGAGTAGTCAAGACGCTGGTTTCCACCCCCTGAACACCAGAGAAAGTCCGCAAGGACGCCCATTCGCTGCTCCTCAAGACAACCAACTCTCCTACTTGTCAACAAGCAGTTTGTCTCGGGATAATATCCTCCTTAACGCGCCGTGTGAGAAATCCCGTTTGCACTTAATAGCAGTTTACAATGTGGCATTATTTATTTATTTATGTATCTATATATACACAAGAAGGTACATTGGGTTTGTGAGGGTACATAACATGGTATTTACATTCTTGTAAAGCCACTAGTACTCGCAGCGTTTCCGGTATTACAGTCCAGTACTATAGAGTGTATCTGAGAGTTTGTGAATGACAGGGTGTTTGATATCATGTTGTAAAGTAATAGTGTTGGGTTGTCTTGGGGTTGGCCAACCTGGTCGAGAATGAGGGTGGGGATATGGGTCAACCAGCACCCTCAGATCCACTAAGTTTCGCTCACAGGTAATACTGATCTTACCCGCTTTCTAATTTTGTCGTGTGAGCTTGTCGTCGACTAACACTATTGGACTGTGTCTGCCAGGTTGATAATGCTTTGTAAATGTTGCATTTAACTCCATAACGCTGCATATACAATCTTTACTATATATTAGGGTCTTAAAAATATCTTCGAGTGATTGTTCAAGTAGGTGATCTCATAGCGAAATTTCTCTCTGTGTTCCGTAACTCTCAAAAACGTTCGTCCAAAATGACGTCAACATTAAGGTGCCAACTGAACATTTAAATTTGTTTTTAATAAAGTGCCTTTAATTGTTCTATGATCAACCACAACTGAAGCGAACTGATTAATTGTATCTTAGTAATAAAGTTAAGATCTTAGTAATAAAGTTAGGTATAGAGCAAGATGTAAGGCGGAGCAGGAGGCACAAAACACCAGGAAAGGAGGGGGGGGGGGAAGGCTAGGTAGTTTAGCGGTTGGGGGGGGATTGATTGGGACTAGTGGATTGGGTGAGTGGGTGGAGGAAAGGGGGAAGGGGGGAAGGGGGAGTGGGGTTGAGGTCCGCGTGTTGCTGTGAGCAGTTCCTGGACAAGTGGTGTAGGTAGTGGTGGTGGTGGTGAGGCAGTAGTGTGTTGTGAGACCTCCTGGTCTGGTGTTTCAGTTCCTGAACCAATAACGTGCCTCTATATCCCCTTTACGCCCCATCACCCACGGGATGGGTATGGGGTGCATAATGAAGGACTAAATAGTAATATTAATAATAAAATAACATTATGAACATTAATACTAACGTGATTAAGATTTTGGGATAGTAAGTGTACGTGTACCGAGTGCTTGGCCGAGTGCTGCCCCCCAGTAGCCTGGCCGAGTGCTGCCCCCCCCCCCCAGTAGCCTGGCCGAGTGCTGCCCCCCCAGTAGCCTGGCCGAGTGTTGCCCCCCCCAGTAGCCTGGCCGGGTGCTGCCCCCCCCCAGTAGCCTGGCCGAGTGCGGCCCCCCCCCAGTAGCCTGGCCGAGTGCTGCCCCCCCCCCAGTAGCCTGGCCGAGTGCTGCCCCCCCCCCAGTAGCCTGGCCGAGTGCTGCCCCCCCAGTAGCCTGGCCGAGTGCTGCCCCCCCAGTAGCCTGGCCGAGTGCTGCCCCCCCCAGTAGCCTGGCCGAGTGCTGCTGCCCCCCCCCAGTAGCCTGGCCGTGTGCTGCCCCCCCAGTAGCCTGGCCAGCGTTGAAACATGCCATGAAAATAAAGGAATCGCTAATTTAAGAATCGTGAAATATATTTATTATATATCAGATATATATTATATATATACAGATATGTATTCAGATATATATATATATTCAGAACACAGTTTTATTCCATGTCTGCTAACATAATTGCGATTACTTTAATACGATTTATACTGCAGTGCTCCGAGGACAGTTTTAAAAGAACAAAAGGTTATGTAGGCAAGGTTATTAAATGCGTGGTCTCTGACAGGACATGCGCTTTTGCTTGTCAAGAACCACTCCTAGGACAAGCTACCCACAACAGTTTCCTAACTCCCGGACACCGGTTTACTGCAAGGTGAACAGATGCATTAGGTGACTGGAAACTTGGCAATCTGCTACTGCTCCGCCTGGGGATCGAACCAGCGTTTTTTTTTTTAAAGTAGCATGACTGCGTGAAATGCAGTTGTCTGTTTTTTCGTTTAATTTATTTTCCTGTACCTGAATGTAGTAACTTGACTTGCAATTATATTTTTAAGTTATATATATATATAATTGTCTTCTGACGATTATATATGATATTAATTTTTATGCATGGCGGAATCGTCTCTGTGCTTGTATTTAAAGTAGTGTGTCTTTGTATATTAAACAGTGAGTAGCATTGACCAAGAGGAGCAGGTCTGATATCCAGTCAGGCGTCGAAACTCCCACAAATACCAAAGAGAAAATACAAATTTTATTACCGTAAATCAGCGTTATATCTTCTGAATGTTTCATTAAACAACTCGACTTGTAAAAGGTATTTCTGGTAACACACAATCTCGGTTAGGTATATATATTTATTGGTTAACCAGCATTATATATTATACATTTAAATGTATAATATATAAACACATATTGAAACAAAATGGGGAGGTTGAAGAAGAAAACACACACGAAATTTAGAGACAAACGAAGAGACTTAACGCCGGCTGTTTTTCTTCTCTTGGGATATATTCCCTCACAAATTTACCCTTGTATATTCAAGTAGGAAATGTGGCAGCGTTCATGTAACCGGTCACGAGTTGGTTTAGTCATCTATTATGCACCCAATACCCATCCCGGGAGCAGTCATGATTACCGACGTACATAATTAATTAGGGAACTGGGAATCCCCTCAGTTCATATGAGACAGACGAGGAGTAAGTTTGTAATGTTATATAATTGTTTTAATGTTTCATATTGACATAAAACGCATGAAAGTTAATACAATAATTATGCTACTTTCTGATGGCATTTATTGTGCGTGGATAGGCAGGCAGGAGGGTTACTCAGCAGACAAAATATTGAGGTTCTTGTGAGGCAGGATCATGTATATTATTTGCGGTTGACGGCTCATGCTCTGTGATAGGAAAAATTGGTTTACTGATAATTATATGAACTAATAATATATATGTATATATAAATTAGTATTTTCCCCTGTAAATTGACGTAAATATGATCTTTAGATTAATACAGTAAAAAGTTATATAATTAAGATGTGTACTTATACGTATATATATATACATACATGTACATACATATACATACACATGGACCAATCTGGTCGTATTCCTTGTGCGTAAATAGATTTTTTGACTGAATTTTATTCTTAATACAAACTACCCAATTGTCGCTGGATTTGAAGATGTTTACCGCCTTAACAAGCTTTCCAGCTAACATGGTGAGTAGTGAGACTTGTATTGGCAAACCAGTCTTCATAAAATTATTTTTATGCAAATTCAAATACACAAATAAGTATATGTCGTGTTTACGCATAAATCATGTATATATATATCGTGTATGTGTGTCTCATGAATGTATAACTCGTGTATATATAATACGTATGCATGACGAAGCTTTGTATACTAATAAAAAATACATTACTTATTTGCGTATGTAAGATTTATATATGTATATATTATATCATAATTCGTTTTGTCGGGGACAGAATGCCTGTGTATGTATGCATGCTTTAGGTTCGCATCGAGTGCCATCCCTTGGTCAAACTACTGTCCCTCCCCTGGTTGGAACCTTACAATAATTGCCTAGCTCTCGGGTGCCAATTTATAGCTTGGTAAACAGACGCATTAGGTGAAAGATAACGTGACCCCCCCCATTTCTCTCCCATCGAGGAATCGAACCCAGGGATCCCAGACTGCGAGTCGAAAACGAAGCTATTTTTTCTGTTTTGGCTTCATGTATAGTTCCGAAATGATATTAACAGTGTTAACAACTGCTATTAACATTAGAGAGTATTTACACGCACAAACTTAGGTATATGTAATGTAAGGAGGCACTATGATTACTCCAGAGACGTGGTTAAGTCTCTGGAGTAAAAGTTAGTAAAATAAGTAAATTTTATTCAGGAAAGTGCATACATAGTTGTTTTATAAACATAATGTTGGATTTATAGATATAGCTAGTAAATACAATACCTAAAGCCACTAGTACGCATAGCGTTTCGGGCAAATTGTCAGCACACACAGCGTTAGAAGGGAAAGCTCAGGAAGCTGAATCTGTGATGTCCACCCTAGGAAGGAGTGGAGACAGGTTGAAGAGTGTGGCAACACGGGGTGGTGGAGCAGGAGGAGCTCTGGGTAAACATGCTCTTGTGCCTCTGAGAGCTTAAAGACTGGTTCCCAGAGCCGGTCTGTTTACGGATGTTGCCTTGAATGGCGGCTATAAGATAGCGCTACTGGCGGGTGTCAATAGCATTTGTGAGAGTTTATTCCCTATCATTTTTTTTTCCGTGTTTACTTCGTAGGTTTAGTTTTTAAGTAATTTATTATGCACCCTCATATCCATCCCGTAGGTGGTGGTGGAAAGGGTTACAGAGAGACATAATCAGTTTAGGAACTGAACCCCATAGTTCATTTAGCTAAGCAAGTGAAGTTTGAAGCTAGTTACACAATAATTAACACATACATAAGCAAGATGGTCTGACGGCTACCCGTCTCTCCACATGCACAAGGGTCAAATTCTCGTTAATCTAACCACTAAACCGCTTGTTTGTAAGGCGAAAGACTTTACATACGGCTCGCAAAGGTTACTTTCGTAGTTTACTTGAACAGTACTCTTCTCTCTCGATTGATTCGAAGCGCATCTCCCAAAATGATTGAATTATGCAAGATTGTTCCCTCAGCCCGTCCTTATGAACACATGCCAAATGCCTGTTAATCTTGCCGCCAAACACACACTCTGACTGTTAAACATTTTACACACAGCTCAAAACTGATGACGTTCGAACTTTTCTCGAACATGGCTTCGTTGACATCTGCTGTTCGAAGAGCACCTTCGAAGATGGTTTCACTCACGTACTGCAAATAAATATAATTGACCACTTAAGAAAAACTTCTCATCAGACCTTGCTTAGACTTAATTGAGGATGCAATTATAATAATTTATATAGAAAATAAAAAAAAATAATTTCAAATAGTTAAAATTGTTAGATACTTCAGGTGGGCCAAGAATACCTGTGGGTGGGTTGAAAAGAAATATGATCCTGAGTGTTAGTAGGAAAGAAATAGTACAAGTTTTAAAGAGAACCCCAAATATACTACAAGGGTATGTGTGGAGATACTTCAGTGAACGGTGAGCTGGCGTAATGAAATAGAAGGGGAAAGTAATTATTGATAGCTCCAGTCAATTTCACGATATGAATAGACAGGATATGAGAGGGCCAATTCGTTTTAAACAAACGGTATCTGAAACAAGGAGTTTGGTAGCTAATGTCTGCCCTACAAGCACATATAACTAAAGTAAACATTATACACTCTCAATCATATAAATTCTGTTAATAAAACGGTTAACTCATCGTTCTCTCATTACATCTTTCTCTCATTTTCTTCCCGTCTCTCATTCCACAGCACTTCTCTCGCATACATCGCCTATGCAGGAGGCGTGTCAGTACTGCCTGCAGAGTCCCCGGAGGCCACTTCGTGGTGGGCAAGGGCACTCTAGCTAATCAGGTTACCGCGATTTTTGTTGCCGACCTTTTCGTAATTGCCTCTTCTACATCTTGTCAGTATTTCTGTGGCTCGTGACCAAATCATTTTTTCCGTCGTTATTACTGACCCACAATCCATCTTGTGGGTGAATACTGAAATGTTAAGCGTCCACTGCGTATGCTCTTTTTTTTTAGGCCTACGTATTTACAGTGCACAAAGAAACCTAATCTGTTGCCGTGGAAATATACACTTCGCATTTGTCTTGAGAAGTGTGCATTTCGAAGACATTTATATCCACTCTAACATTGCTGGGGAGTAGAAATAGCCTAAGCTACTCTATCCCTTTGAAATTTATTTTTTTCTTGTCTTAATAAACATACTTGAACTCTAACATTCACTTTTTGTACGGTAATGACAATGACATATTAGCATGTTTAACTGTCCTTAAGCACGTGACTCGTCTCAAACGGGATGGAGCTCTTTTTCGCTATTAACTTACAGCAGAGATGAACACAAATTATAGTACGTAAATGTAAGATATCTATTGCAACCATTTAGAGAAATGAAATTATAATGAATTATTTGAATGGTGTGAATTTAGCGCAATTATCCCAAAACTATTTACTTGTATGATTTAGTATGGGAATAAATACTAAATATTTAGTATTTATTTAATATTTAGTATTATAGTATTATAATATAATATTTAGTATTATAATATTTACTATTATAATATTTAGTATAAATACTAAATATTCCCATATGCCTGCATATAGGAATAAATCTGCTAATAATTGTTTTCATCAGGTTAGATCTAAATCATCGGGAGACGCAAACAATTAGAAGTGCTTGAACACCATTTAAGTTTTCCTAGTGTTAACTTAAAAGTAAAGGAAGGTTGACAAGTTGCTACATGAATTTGCACTTTGTTAGTGTTCTGGGAACTATTGTGTTAGTTTAGGGTCTTTGTCTAGTTATTATAAATGTTTGAGACTATTTTAAGATTTGTGGAACAATGTGTAGGTCTATTATGCCGACTTAAAGTATTTTCTTCATGGAATCTGCTGGAAAACTTAAGTTTAGCCAGTGTGTCAAAATTGTCACCTTTTCCTCTCATGTAGTCATGAAGTGTTTTGCTTATAAGTAAACTTTTATCACTTTTTACCAATAAAAGAAAAGTTATATTTTAAACCAGAGATGGTGTCATTTTTTTACCATTTAATTACGAATTAGGATTAAGTTTAATTAAGATAAATTAAGATTATAATTATGCATTATATTTCAATGTATACTTATTATATACGTTTAATAAAAACGCATAGCCTAGGAGTAATCTTAAGTGGTCACAAGTAATATATATACAGTGTACCCAACATCTCGGTGTATATATATATACACACATGGAGAGTTGATTTTGGCCCTGACCCATTTTCAGGGCTAAAGTGAACTTGCAGGTAGGTCAACAAGCTATTTTGGTAGCTCTAATAGCCCTCACGCATTTGATAGGTCTTACACTCACCACCATACCAAAGGTGTGCACTTTTTACGTTCAGTGGGGAATTTTCTTCTTTCTTGGGAGCAAAAACTGGTCCACATACCAGTGTGTTGATGCCCTTCTTGATCACCGAGTTCTCAAGACTCGGTCAGCAGTGGGTCGGCTCGCGTAACATGTCCTGTAGTGTGTTAGTGTGTGTCTCAGATCACACACTCTGGAGTGCTTGTGTGCAAGCACACGATATAGATAAGCATCGATTTAACAGTTGAGATGGACGGGGAAACACCTCGTTAGGTAGGTAGTATCAGGCGAGACTCTTGAACAACGCGGAGAATAGGTTTCACAGATGCTGGTAAAAGTATGAGGTATAAATAGGACTTGCCTCTCGTGAGTCGCTGTCATTATGTACTGTATATTTTGTACTTATGTTATTTTAAAACGTATATATCCTCTCTATCCCTGGATATATTTTTTTAGTTTGATTATTTAAACACTTCCGTATAGGTGGAAGACGTATCAAAATAAGTGTCCTATTCTCTATGCATTGGAAAAGAAGTACAGCAAATATCTCCACCATGCATAAGTCGGGCGTATTCACCAATGTTACGATCGCCGCCCGCTGCGACTCGTATACCGCTTATTAGAGGTATACTTGTTAATACACTCGAATTATTGCGTTCTGTGAAGCTAATACAGTATAGTTAAATATTTGAAGTCACGATAACATTTTATTTCTATTTACGTAATATTAACACCAACCGTATAAATTTTGACAATGTTTACTTTCAATTTTACGTTTAAACATAATATAGAAAATGCTATTTTTCCCACAGTTTATGATATCCAGAACCATCTATTGACAGCAGACGTAACAATTCCTATCCTGGCTGCTCTATAATATCCGCTATGTGGGCACGTGTAATATTACGATACCCGCAGTCATGCCACTAATAACTAAGTATTGAGCAGTCCAAATGTTGCTGTGATGAGCATACCTCTATATATTAACAGAACTATAATAAACATTCAATACCTCCTTATATATTAAACATTGTAATAACCATACAATACCTATTTATACTAACAAACTATTATTGTTTGATAATATAAAGAGGTACTGTATGTTTATAATAAACATACAGTACCTCTTTATATTAACAAACAGCAGTACTCCACTGTTTGTTTAATTATATGAGCAGATCCAGAGTTTAAATCAAAAGACTACTCTAAATGTTAATTTGAATGCCGAAAAAATGTACTCTATTTCCTTTTTAAAGAGATGGTAATAGTTTCGTTGGAAATGAGGAAGTGCTGTGGTTTGAGTGACAGATCTAAGGAATTTAATGACACAAAAATATACAGATTGACAAGACTGGTGACTGGCCAAACCAACATTACCAGAAGCTGTCGCATGAATTGTCATACGAAGCTTCCCGATCACTTCTGACTGGATTTAGCGCACTATGACGACTTGCTACCTGAAGTGACCCCTCAGCCTTGAGATGAGTTTATGAACAGTGCACTCAATTCACTTTACAATGTCCTCGCATAATGAACCACAGTGACCCGTCGCAACTTCACAGTGACCGAAGCCGAACTTTAGTGACCCCGATAAAGGTGTTGTGACCAGTGACTATGTTGGGAAGACCTGGAAAGGATGAGAACCTTGCCGTCAGAAGGCAGCCGGGCGGCGATCAGAGAGCACGCAAGCAGGAGTGTGGGGTCCCACCTTCGTAGTGGTGTGGGGTCCCACCTTCGTAGTGGTGTGGGGGCGGCGGTGGTGCTCTGCTGTCTGCTGGCTTCTCCCACAGTCCACGCCACCATCAACCACCGTTCATGTGAGTACTTTGTTCTTAATCACACGAGTATCTCCGTATATAAGTAAGATATTGTAAACAAACTTCTGAAATGTTAGTTGCGGATATCACCGAACTTTTCGATAGTTGAGATTTTGCTATTTTTTTCTTGTTAATAGTTGGTACCAAGTAATATTATAATTATACGGTGTGCAGTTTAGATGTAATTGTTAATTTAAACATCTCCTCCGAGGTGTGATTAAGTCCTTTTGTAGCCTCTGTAATCTTTTTTGCGCTACCGCTCACAGAATGAGTATGGGGGTGTGCAATAAACTCTTGCACACCCCATACTTTGGGGAGTATGTATCGAGCCCCCCCCCCCCGTACACATTGGCGTGGTATTGTAAGGTCATAGTTACGGGAAGTTTGATACCGTAGACTGCAAGCAGGCCGGGGTCACCTTCCCCAAGCTTGGTATTCGTGCATTCCTGGCCCTGCCCTCCACCACACTCTTGGTACCTGTCATTCGCTTTCACCTTTCACCCATTGTTCTCAAGGCGGATCCACGCCTGTCGAGGAAGCGGCGAATTCATGCGGCCTTCCTTACCTTTCTTTTCCGCCTCGGCTTTCCTTGCCTTTCTCTTGCTTCTCTGCCTGCCCATACGTTTTCCTGCTCCTCTGCCTTCCCTCGGCACCCGATCAGTCCCCCCTGACTTCCTATTTAGCTTCCGCTTCATCTTCTTCCTCCTCCTCCTTCCTTCTCCCCTTCATCCTCCTCTTCCTTATGCTTTCAAATTCTTCTTCATTTTTCCTCCTGTACATCCCATCATTCTCCTCCCCCCTCATCTTTCTTCTCCTCCCCCCTCATCTTTCTTCTCCTCCCCCCCTTTTCATTTCTTTCTACTGCTTCCCAACTGCATTAGGCGTCCCATACACGTCCGCCAATATTTGAGAGAATTGCCAACTAAACATGATTTTAAAAGTTTTTTTCTTGGGGGTAAAATAGTTTCCAGTGTTTTAAGGCGAGGAATAACCATTTATCGTGGCACTGATCACCAGCCATGATGTCTATGATTAAGGCTTCAACTATTGGATATGAGGTCACCAATGTTCAAGCAGTCTTAAACCGGTTAGAGCTCAGAGTATTACTCTATATCTTGGCTTGAGATCTGCTGCATTAAAAAATAAAATTCCCACCGCCACAGTACCTCGTAAGGCTGCCACGCAAACAAGGTTGTGGAGCCTCGTAGTGTTTGGGTATGTCTGTGCTGTTTTGAGATGGTCATAAATATTCGTGCTCTGGACGATGCTTCTTTTGTTACTTGACAACTATAATGTTGTGAGGGCGTTGGTTTGTACTTATAAGTGACTGTGTGTGTGTATGTGAATGTTAGAGTATGTGTCGACTTTGTATGTTTGTAATGGTTTATTTGTGGCTTCTATGCATGCTTGTGCTAAATAATTAACGTCTGTACATATACATTGAACTTGTTGGTCTATTAAACAGATTCCAGCGTCAGGGGTTTATATACTTGCAACTTTTAATAAACTGTTTAATATGGCGGTGGTCCGGTTGTCCAACTTCGTTTTATATTTTCACTTCTCCTTCCACATCTCTTTCCTAACGCTGCTTCGCCGCCACCTCCTCGCTTCTTGTCTGTATCTCTGCCTACTACTATTTTCGCCTGCAGCCCCATATGCTTCTTCCTTTCCTTCTGTAATACATCCTGTTGTATTCCTTCTACTATCATGTTCTCTTCCCTCTTCAAATTGCTTCCTCCTAATCCTTTATCCTTGTTTTTCCTCTCCTCGTCGTCCTCCCTTGATCATTTATCTCCTCGTCTTACTACCGCGTGATTTTTCTCCTTTAGCTTTTCCCTTCCTAACTGTTATTAATTTTTCTCCATTATCCTGGTCATCACTGTCGGCCCGAGCCATGACCACTATCAGTTACATGTCAGGCGGAGTGATTAGCTGTTCCGCGATGACCAGTTGGGCAGTTGTGTGGCTGAGGAAGTGTCTGTAATGACGGGAGGCGAGAGGACATACCGAACTGTTCTCTCTCGGGTGTGACTGGGTGTTCTGCAATCCTGGAGACCCAAATGACAGGCAGTCTTCATAAACCAATGCCAGATGCTCGTTAAACTAACGTCTGATTCCCTTAGATGCTGGTTTAACGAGCATTTGGTCTTGGTTTATGAGGAATTTACACTCGACTGACACCTGATCGTAACGCTCTTTATGATAATAAGGTACTCGTCTGTGTCACGATCTCAGTCAATTGGGTAGTTAACTCGAGGAAACTACCAAGAGAAAGCTCTATGCTAGTGACCCCTGGGTGGGAGGAAACTTGTCGAAACGTTTTAATCCTGCACGGGAATGGAGGCGTGATCTCTCGGTTATGACCCCGACTGCGTTTAAGAACTGCAGTGATCATACTGAAGTAGAGGTAATGGGTATACGCAGACGAGGAGTCACAATAACGTGGCTGAAATAGGTTGACCAAACCACGCACTAGAAAGTGAAGGGACGACGACGTTTCGGTCCATCCTGGACCATTCTCAAGTCGATTGTGTGTATACCTTGTGTGTGTATTGCGTGTATACCTATATATAATGGGTATACCTTCTACAGGTCACACTACAGATATTATGTGCTAAAGGAGATGTTATAATAAAATGATGCAGCTTACACAAATCAGCAGCCTTATCTCCAGCAATACCCTATAGTGATACTTGAAGTAATTATATACACTTGTGTATATAAGTGACACTTGTTATGTACCTGAAGCAGTGAAACGTAGTGATCAGTGCAGCCGGTTCGCAATCCTGAAGTCTCGGGTTCGTGTCCCGTGCAGGTCGGAAGCGCTTAGGCATGTTTTCTTTAACCTGAGGCCACTATAGCTATTCAGCTATCAGTGCTTAGGTTCCCGAGAAGCCACTGTTGTGAGTCGGTCGCATAATAATGGTACACCAATATATCCAGTGTATGTTGCACCTTCCCTGAAGATGCCTTCAGTAGAAGTGCCATCATTAGTGGCCCAGCTACCTGCTTCATACTTAATTTTGAGAGAACACTTTCCATATCTCTACATGCAAGATTATTCACCTCATAACGTACTCGTAAAGGAAAAGTTCTCCTAAAAGTAATTATATATATAATATATATAAATGAAGATGAAGCATAAAATTTCCATCATTGAGGTGAGCTGACGAGAGGTTGCAGATGGTTAGTGCAGCATGGGAAGAGTACCGTAATTGTCCGGAGAAAAAGATGTCATACTGGCATACGTTAAGCCAGTATGACTATATAGCACTTGCAAGGGATGCAAGGACAAGGAGCTGGGAAACGAAAACGGAGCGAAGGAACTGTTTGCAAGCGCTTAAATTAACGGTTATCGAACGTAGACCTTAAAAGAACAGTCCTTTGCTGTACGAAGTAGTTAAAGTGGATTAAGGGCTGGCATTGTTACCAGAAAAATGATGAATGTGACGTGACCTACTCACCACCTGCGTGCCTGGAACCGGCACATCGTTTATTAAATATTAATTTGCACTTAACTTTCTCCTGAAAAAGTTATGAAAAAGAGGAATTGGGGTCACATGTTTTTCAGTGCCTTGAAAGTTCCTCTTGGAAAATGTATAAATATATATATTTTGGATCTAGTAGGTCGATTATACCAGTATAGTAGTGTGGGACATTATTGTAGAAGAAAATAGTGTCTGTGTCTGTCTGTGTCTGTGTCGGTCTGTCTGTCTGTGTCCGTCTGTCTGTGTCTCTAAGAACACAGTGACCCGCCTTGGTATCACCGCGAGCCATACCAGGAATGGAGTGAAATCAAGGCATGTTTCCTACTTTGCCGCCTCTCCCTTCCTCTCATACCTTCCTTGTTTCTTCTTTCCTCTCCTTCTTTCCTCTCCTTCTTTCACACCCTCTCCTCCTCCTACCACACCCTCTCCTCCTCCTCCTCCTCCTACCACACCCTCTCCTCCTCCTCCTCCTCCTACCACACCCTCTCCTCCTCCTCCTCCTCCTACCACACCCTCTCCTCCTCCTCCTACCACACCCTCTCCTCCTCCTCCTACCACACCCTCTCCTCCTCCTCCTACCACACCCTCTCCTCCTCCTCCTACCACACCCTCTCCTCCTCCTCCTACCACACCCTCTCCTCCTCCTCCTACCACACCCTCTCCTCCTCCTCCTACCACACCCTCTCCTCCTCCTCCTACCACACCCTCTCCTCCTCCTCCTACCACACCCTCTCCTCCTCCTCCTACCACACCCTCTCCTCCTCCTCCTACCACACCCTCTCCTCCTCCTCCTACCACACCCTCTCCTCCTCCTCCTACCACACCCTCTCCTCCTCCTCCTACCACACCCTCTCCTCCTCCTCCTACCACACCCTCTCCTCCTCCTCCTACCACACCCTCTCCTCCTCCTCCTACCACACCCTCTCCTCCTCCTCCTACCACACCCTCTCCTCCTCCTCCTACCACACCCTCTCCTCCTCCTCCTACCACACCCTCTCCTCCTCCTCCTACTACCACCCCTCTCCTCCTCCTCCTACCACACCCTCTCCTCCTCCTCCTACACACACCCTCTCCTCCTCCTCCTACCACACCCTCTCCTCCTCCTCCTACCACACCCTCTCCTCCTCCTCCTACCACACCCTCTCCTCCTCCTCCTACCACACCCTCTCCTCCTCCTCCTCCTACCACACCCTCTCCTCCTCCTCCTCCTACCACACCCTCTCCTCCTCCTCCTCCTACCACACCCTCTCCTCCTCCTCCTCCTACCACACCCTCTCCTCCTCCTCCTCCTACCACACCCTCTCCTCCTCCCACACCCTCTCCTCCTCCTCCTCCTCCCACACACCCTCTCCTCCTCCCACACCCTCTCCTCCTCCCACACCCTCTCCTCCTCCCACACCCTCTCCTCCTCCCACACCCTCTCCTCCTCCCACACCCTCTCCTCCTCCCACACCCTCTCCTCCTCCCACACCCTCTCCTCCTACCACACCCTCTCCTCCTCCCACACCCTCTCCTCCTACCACACCCTCTCCCTTGACACTCTCGTGATACTTCCGGAAGCGAAATATCACAATGAGGAAGGAGTTACCGTGTGCCAGACAGTACCACGACACTAACGTGTCACAGAACACCTGCACGACCGTGTACACCTCGCAACACCTCGGGGGGATAGTACTTGTGTGTCAGTGATTATGGAAAAGTGAAGTCTAGCTTTTCATGCCTCGTCTAGTGGTTGTGGTGTTAACGGTCATGATGGCGGTGATTGTAGGGCATTGATTATAGTGGTAACGGATCATCAAGGTTGATGGGTGTTGAGGGGGGTCGATAGTAAAGGATGTAGTTAATCTTTATATATCATATATATTAGGAATTCATCTATTATTTCCACACAACTGATATAAACGAAGGTTTGAAGAAAACCAGGACGTCGTATAAAAAAAGTTGTTGATCTTGACGTCAGTGGTCAACATCCACGTGAGGAATAGCATCGTCACAAACATAAACAGAACAAGCCTCTCATGGCATCAACCTGACTGACAGAGGCGGGAGAAATCGAGGCGTCGTGAAGGCGAACATGACGTGGATAAATCCTGACATCATTACAAAACGAGAATTTATGATATCACAGTGGTATATATTATTCCATATGAGCCAACTTGTCAGTTCGGGAAGTCACAGCCGGACCTTCAACTGTCTTGGAGGCTGTTTTGTTTGATTGTTCACGTGTACTGCCGGGTGAATAGTTAACTTGTTTACTACGAGACTATTCGACAGCTCGTTTTCTGTTAAAACTGAAAATATTTTTACGTTTGTATTCTCTTTGGTTAAGCTCGGTTGAGGTGGGTAAGGTTAGGTTAGGTAGTTGTTAAAATCCCGTGGCGAATCTATTAATGTGTGATGTGACTTATGTTCGTATTAGCCGTCTTTCTGCCCAATTACTCTGGCAGTTTTAAGATTTTATGAAACCATGCTCACGCAAGCTCAAGACTCCTCACATGCATTCTCACATCCTCAAACACACTCACATTTTCTGGGGCGCCGGTGGCTGTGTGGACAGCAAGCTGGATACGTAATCTGTGGCCTGGGTTCGATTCCCGGCGTCGGAGAGAAAACAAAATTGGCAGTTTCTTTCTCCATGATGTTCCTGTTACCATTCAGTAAATAGGAACCTGGGAGTTAAGACAGCTGTTACGGGCTGGTTCCTAGGTGTGTGTATGTGAGATTGAGAGAAAAAAATTAGTTAGTAGTTAGTAACAGTTGAATGACAGTTGAGACGGGCCGAAAGAGCAGAGCTAAACCCCCGCAAGCACAACTAAGTGAATACTTGCACTCACATGCACTCTCATACCCTCACGTGCACTCTCATACCCTCACGTGCACTCTCCCACCCTCACGTGCACTCTCCCACCCCTCACGTGCACTCTCCCACCCCCCACATGCACTCTCCCACCCCCCACATGCACTCTCCCACCCCCCACATGCACTCTCCCACTCCCCACATGCACTCTCCCACTCCCCACATGCACTCTCCCACCCCTCACGTGCACTCTCCCACCCCTCACGTGCACACTCCCACCCCTCACGTGCACTCTCCCACCCCTCACGTGCACTCTCTCACCCCTCACGTGCACACTCCCACCCCTCACATGCACTCTCCCACCCCTCACACACACACACACACATACATACATACATACATACATATACACACACTCATCCTCACATGAACACGCACACACGAATTCCTATCCCCCCTCCCCCCCACCACCACACCCAGCCTCCTTTCCCGGAACACAGTTTAAGTAGCGCGAGGATTTACGGGAGAAATCAACTACCGAAGCTCCACGGTACAGCCATCACTGCAGATCTGGAGCTCTTCCTGGTTGTCATAAAATAGTGACCTCCTCCAGGCAGACTTCTCCTCCATGGGACGTGCCTCCGTCCTCGTGAGGTCCGTCTGTGAGGGCCCTGCGTGACTCATTGTGAGGGACGTACCTCTGTCTTCATGCGATTCTGCATGACAAAGGTACTTGACATTTTCTCTCGGGGGATCCTTTTGCGTGCACCAGCCTAGTGGTACTAATCTATAGACGAGCCCACGGAGTGTAAAATCTAGTTGTAGAGCCTCGATTCCCCTCTGTTGTACCTAATGTGTATTAATTACTTCCAACACCTCTGGTTCAGGTTCGTTCCACTTGCTTACCATTCTCGCTGAATGAAAGAGTCCTTAAATGTCTTTTGATATTGTTTCAAATTTTGTGTTGTGGCCCCCTTGTTGTGTCGTCTGGTGAGATATTGTTCCTATTCACATTTTGTGTTCCCATTCTGTCACCTCTGATGTTTCTTATAATGTTCTTAGAGTTAATTTGTTGTACTCGTAGATCTGTTCTTTTATACTTGGTATTAGTCCCGTGGAATATTGTAAGACTTTCTGATCTATTTTCTGGTTCCGTGAAGGAGCTGCCTAAAACTGGCTACTTGAACTGGTTAAACGTACGCTGTGTGTGTGTGTGTGTGTGTGTGTGTGTGTGTGTGTGTGTGTGTGTGTGTGTGTGTGTGTGTGTACTTTCCTATATGTGCTTGTATGGCGAGCTCCCGACATTGGTCACCAATTGCAACAGCGTCTCATCTCATGCTTCCTATTATGCCGCCTCCTGAAATTGTCGATAGAATATGCTTCATTTTTCATACTAATAAGCTCATTCCACCTAATTACTAATCCTGCTCTGATGAATTGCTTTCCTACATCCTTGTGCCTTACCCTAAGTTGCTAGTTTACATAGCCTTGCGTCTTACCCCTATTTGCGTTAAGAGATTAAAAAAATCTTGGAAAGGGAGGGGAGAGAGAGAAGGGGAGAAGAGAGGGAGAACGCGTGCTCAATATTCCCTACTCGTCTTCATCAGTGCCACAAAGAAACTAATAAGTTGTAATCATGTCACCCCTTATCCTTCTCTTTTCCAGCTTGATGAGCTCAGTTTCTGTCAGCAACGTAACTCAGTCCACCGTGTTTAAAAAAAATCAGTCTTATAGCAATCCTTTGACATTCTTTAGCTGTACTTGAGTTCTTTAAAGAACTGGTGCTGGATATTCCAGCTCTGATCCAAAATACATAATGTGTAACGTTCTGAAGCCTGCTGTGTACAGGTTCCTTAAGGCTGCGTGCTATAGTCTTTCAGAGAAAATATTGTTGCAATGTGAGGGTGAACTCGTGTTTCTGAACTTCCCAGAAACACACGCACAACCTACTGTGTCGTGATGAGTTTAAAGCATCGTAATCAGAAGTTCTCCTAAACTTTCATGGGCCACAGAGGGCACAAACTGGTGAACAATATCTTTGTCTCGACTTCTCCCAGGAAACTAAGGTTAAGATAAGGTCGTAATACTATTATGACTTTACGATAAGTTGCTCTATTACCTTAGGATGTTGCATACTATACGGAGCACTTGGAACGGATATGAAGACTAAGGAACTGGGATATGAAAATGGAGTTATTGAAGTATGGTACCCAACTGTGCAAGTGGTTGGGCACCATTTCTTTCCCCCCGTCTCATCCCAAATGCTTATCCTGACCCATTCCAAGTGCTATATAGGCGTAATGGCTTGGGGCTTTCCCCTGATATAATTCCCTCCCTCCCCTAACCATTTGTACTGTCAGGGATCGAACGCCTATCTTGCATCCTCCCTCCCATCTCTCTCATAATAATAGTTCTTTGTTTATTACTAATATTATAGCAATTGTTCTTTTTAAATATTTTAAGACTGAGATCTCTCGTGCTAATTCTTCCTGTGACAGACTGCGGGGAGTCGTCCTATAGTCACCGCTACTACATGAGGATCGTTGGAGGAAGGAACGTGGTGGCAGGAGAGTGCCCCTGGCACGTGGCACTGCAGCAGAAAGATCCCTTCAGTGGTCGACGCCTCGGCCAGCACTGTGGTGGCACCCTCATCCACCCCTCCTGGATCCTCACAGCCGCACACTGCATCGTTGAGTGAGTTGCAAACAATGTTGTTGTTGTTGTTATAGATTCAGCTCCTCGGAACAAGTTCCAAGTAGCACGGGCTATTGTGAGCCCGTAGTGGACTTACCTGGCACAGGAGCGGTACTGTGTGTGGAATGAGTTGCAGAGAAGCTTTGCTCTTTTTTTTGTTTTAAAGTGGGGGGGGGCCATGAGTGGGTTTCAAGTAGGTTGAGTGGAATGGATTCCGTAGGGTGTGGGTTGGTTAGCATCCGAGTAAGCTATGTAAGTGCATATACTTAGCGTGCAAACTATAGTAATATCATTATAAGTGTGGTAGTAGGATGCCGACACATATGTAACTTGCCAATACGCGTTCAGCCTGTCTCGTCAAATTCGTTCCGACTGTCATAACTTGAAAGAATCCACATTGTTTTGATCAGTAAATTGCCCGTCCGCGCTAAGCCAAGAGTGATTTAGATTGAAAGCTCGGACGTAATTGAACTCGATGGACAGAGCACAGAATTTGACACTAGGCAATTCAACAACTTTGGAAACTGTGAACAGATAGCCTTATCTAACATCTGAAAAGGCCCTGCTGGTGTAGATATAATTTCTTCACGAAGTTATCAGATCAAAAAGATACTTCAGGTAAGGCAAACTTGGGAGGAGCTTTTCTCAGAGACTAATTACAATTAACTCCAAAGAACTTCACAGAAAATTTCCTGATTGAATCCAGATACATTTTTGATACTCTCGCCTGACTACAATGGGAACCCAGTGTGGTATTGTGGGAACTACTACGAGAAACTTAGAGTTCATTATTTCGTGTTATTTCTAGTGCTCATCATTCTTCATGCCAAGCAGGCTAAGTGATGAATGGAAGTCTCCTTCCACTGTAATAGAAGGAAACTTCATCTAGGAAAAAACCTTGTTACTGTTGGCCTCAGAATCTTTTTGTGTTCAACATCATAATTCCTATGCAGACGATGAGTCACAATAACGTGGCAGAAGAATGTTGACCAGACCACACACTAGAAGGTGAAGGGACGACGACGTTTCGGTCCGTCCTGGACCATTACAGTCGACTTGAGAATGATCCAGGACGGACCGAACCGTCGTCGTCCCTTTACCTTCTAGTGTGTGGTCTGGTCAACATAATTCCTTTTGTGAAGACTTCCCGATGTTGCAAATTTAACCTCAGGTCAGATTAATACCAGTTTATACGTCAAATTCGTTTAAAATGTTATTAGACACTTGAAAGTATAGCATAAAGGTTACTTGTTGTAATTCAGACAGAAAAAAGTGTAGGTGAAATGTCAGGAATTTCTCCTAATATCACTATTCATAAAATCTTGAAATCGGTAACACTTTCGTATAAAGTGTTAAATTCAGCGGCATTATGTCTTGTGGCTGCATTTTTTTCAGTGTATATCTAGACTGACGTATATTGTATGATCTAATGAGGTAAACACAGTTTTTCATAACCAATCACAAACTTTTCCTCCTCCAGACTTTTTTTTTATTTTTTTTTTATGTATATAGAGGTCGTCACGTTTTCTCTTCCAGGTCCTCAGGCCCGTATTACCATTGACATGCTTCTGATATGAATTCTAGAAAGTTCAATCTTTCTGACTATTTTATACACAGTCCCACACAGTCACAGACAGACAGAAAGAGAGATAGATTTGATTGCTTGATTCATGGATTCACATGTCCGAGAGCAAAGAGCTCAATCCTGGAGGCACAAATAGTAAATATACACACACACACACACACGTTTCTGTCTCTTTATCTTTGTTTCATATCTCTCATCATGTAGGGTGAAGTAGTAAAAAGCTTACAACAATTTTCCAAGACATTTTCGCATGTTTCCCCCCGGAACACGATCTGCCAATTTACCGTCGTTTGTTGTTCCTGATAATATAAAGTACTCATTACTCCCTCTATGGCATCTTTAAGACCCGGTGGACACATTATGGAAAAGCCTCTCTAAAAAATTTAAGGACAAGATAAAGGCAAAGGTTCTGTTTCCTATTACAATCCTTTAGTTCAATTTCATTGTATTCTACAAATTATTTATGAATTCACTTCTTTCTTCATCACAGCCCGATATTCAAGTTTGCGCTGCCTCCTCCTTTTTGGACAGTCCGAGTGGGAGAGATCAGTCTCTCTGCTGAGACTCTACGACTCTATCCTGTCTCCAGGATCATCACACACAAGGTAAGCTCTTGGACACACTTTTCGTCAGTTTTACAAGTTCAGAACCCCCTCCTCCAGCTCTTTGACTGCCCTAATTACAAAGCTTTCGAGACACTTTCTTTGATTCTCTCACCACATCTCTCTCATTTGAACCTTAAACATTTCAGCATTTCGATTCCAAAACCTGGGACAACGACATTGCTCTAGTTCAGCTGCGGAAGCCCTTGGATCTGGAGGAACATGCTGGCCTGGTGAACACTATTTGTCTGCCTTCCAGAAACATGTCTTTCGTCGGCCTCCAGTGTTCTGTTACGGGCTGGGGCAGGACCAAGAAGCGTGAGTATCAGGGGAAAATACACAGAGAGAGAGAGAGAGAGAGAGAGAGAGAGAGAGAGAGAGAGAGAGAGAGAGAGAGAGAGAGAGAGAGAGAGAGAGAGAGAGAGAGAGAGAGAGAGAGAGAGAGAGAGAGAGAGAGAGAGAGAGAGAGAGAGAGAGAGAGAGAGAGAGAGAGAGAGAGAGAGAGAGAGAGAGAGGAGAGAGAGAGAGAGAGAGAGAGAGAGAGAGAGAGAGAGAGAGAGAGAGAGAGAGAGAGAGAGAGAGAGAGAGAGAGAGAGAGAGAGAGAGAGAGAGAGAGAGGAGAGAGAGAGAGAGAGAGAGAGAGAGAGAGAGAGAGAGAGAGGAGAGAGAGAGAGAGAGAGAGAGAGAGAGAGAAGAGAGAGAGAGAGAGAGAGAGAGAGGAGAGAGAGAGAGAGAGAGAGAGAGAGAGAGAGAGAGAGAAGAGAGAGAGAGAGAGAGAGAGAGAGAGAGAGAGAGAGAGAGAGAGAGAGAGAGAAGAGAGAGAGAGAGAGAGAGAGAGAGAGAGAGAGAGAAGAGAGAGAGAGAGAGAAGAGAGAGAGAGAGAGAGAGAGAGAGAGAGAGAGAGAGAGAGAGAGAGAGAGAGAGAGAGAGAGAGAGAGAGAGAGAGAGAGAGAGAGAGAGAGAGAGAGAGAGAGAGAGAGAGAGAGAGAGAGAGAGACCGAGACCAGGACTAAGAAATATAGGTATAAGGGAAAGGAAAGGGCAATTTTTAAGGCTTTAAGTCATAAATCATGGGTGGTTAAGGACGAGGGAGAAGGCACATAAAATGTTAAAATTTGGGACAGGACGACGATCCGACCAGGATGCAGTTTAGTTCATTTATTACTCACCCCATACCCATCTTGGGGGCGGTGGTGGAGAGGGTTACAAAGGCACATAATAGACTCAGAAGCTGAAGAAGACATACTCGAAACAGAAGTATCAGAATGAGAAGACATTTAGAGGGACAGAAATGGGTATGGAGGGGGGTGGGTCAGAAGAGTATACCGAGAGGAGGAGGGGGGTGTCAGAAGAGGGGTACCAAGAAAATGAGAACTGAATATTGGGTAGATGAGGAATTTTCCTTTCATGTCTCAGTCTAATTCTCTTATTAAATCCCCCATCATGGTATTTTTTTGTCACTCCTTCATACTCAGATTTAATGCTTTGTGTTTAGTGCATATTATACATTCCTTCATGGTTATATTTTTTGTAATTGTGTGGTATCACGGGAATTGCCGTTCCATCAACATTACATTTCTTCAACATGTTCTGCTAATTCCAAAAATTTCTGGCCTCTGTGTTATCAAATGCACATCTTAAGTCCACCTTAATTAGTTAGAATCTAACCAATGATAGAATTTATAATTTTTATATAGGTGTTTTAATTTCATGATTATTTGAAGAAAAGCTTTGAAACTTAGGACAGTTACACCCAGATACTGTATGTCTAAATACTTATCTACAGAAAAAGGTTCAGGTCTTTTAAATCTCATTTATCATCTTCCTGCTGCAGCCCCACACACACTATACATTTTGCCAACAGGTAAATTCAGGTAAATTAAGAGTGGATTTAGAAAAATTTAACATCTAATTGATATGCTGGTAATTATAATATTATAGAGCTGATTTTTTTAATGCATATATTATATTTTAAATGTCAGTGCAAATGGCTGGGTGAATTTGGCACCACAGTGTTGCATTAGTAGCAACAAAATGATATCATTCAGGCCATAACTTTGCTTTGAAAATACTGTATATGAGTATCACAAGATAATTCTAAGGAAGTATATTATTTAATAGCATATTCTTTAAGCAGTGTATATAGAAAAGGCATTTTTTTTAAGAAATTACACTTTGTAATACAAATTACCTGTATATTACCTTGAATATTAATGAGAGGTACATATTTACATTAGTAAGGTACTCTATTTTCACAGCATTATTAAGAGCAAGCTCTTCTGGATACCATAATTTTCATATGTTTATCCTTCAGACGGGAGCCACTCAGACCTACTTCAGACAATTCGGGTGCCCATCATGGCTAACAAAAAGTGTCAACGAGCTTACAGAAAGATCAGTCCTGTAAGCAGCAGCATGATTTGTGCTGGCTGGGAGGACGGAGGCATGGGACCATGTGTGGTAAGTGTTCAGAAAAAACAAATATTTTGGAGGTTGTGGTTGATCAACCAGGCTGTGATTCACATGTCAGGCTGCGAGCAGCCTCGTCCGACAGCCTGGTTGACCAGTTTATCAACCAGGAGGCCTGTCGGGGACAGGGCCAAGGGGACTTTTTTTTTTTTTTTTTTTTTTTTTTTTTTTTTTTTTTTTTTTTTTTTTTTTTTTGAGTAAAAGAGGCAGGACAGGCGTTGAGGTCCAAAATCATTGAAGAGGAAACCATTGGGCAAGGTTAACTGATAATGATCTATTTTTTTATCAGAATATGATCTGCTCTATGCAATAAGGTATCTAGCAGGTATATCTAGAGTATAACTGGTTGGGGTTCTCGGAATACTTTTATTCTCAAAGTCAGGCTTGATCTGTAATAAATTGGTGGGCCTATTCACCGACTGTTGTTATTCTCCACTATTTTAGTTTAGCTCATTTATTATGCACCCCCATACCCATCCTGTGGGTAGTAGTGGAAAGGGTTACAGAGGCACACAATGGGCCCAGGAACTGAACCCTAACATTCATTTAGCTAAGCAAGTTAGTCTTAATCAGCTAGTTACAAAATTCAATTCACATCACCACATAAGCAATGGGCTCAAGACCAACCACAAGTACACTTTCTAAATTAAACTGACTTGTGTGGAGAGCTGGTGTCACATTTTATGTTTATCCAGCACACCACGGAGTTTTATCCAGCTGGAAAACTCACAGGTGGTACTTCCACCCATACATATATTTACCAGGTATTACCAGGTATTTTTCTCATAGTATACAAAGAGAAAAGCTACGCAAGCCCCTCTTAAGAAGTGTCACTATTGTTGAGGCACACAAACTATCCTCAAGAGCCCAGTTATGTGGCGGAGGTATAAATGATAAGGTAAATTTGGCCTTAAGTAAAAGCATTTGTTTCCTATATCAAAATTTTCAATTATCTATAAAGGCAAAACAAATTACATTGATGCTCTAGAGACAGTTTGTTACATTAGGAAATGACTAATTAAGAGAGGAATGTGTCCGATTCTCATTAACAACTACATTTTAATATTCCTACACCACTGCATCAATACATTACGACAGCATTCATTAAATATATTAGTAATTTCTGTCTGCTTTAAATGTCATTTTGATGCTTTTTATTTTCCACACCTATATTACAAAGTGTCCTTTTATGCTACTGCACAACTATCACTTGCAGGGTGACAGCGGTGGGCCTCTACAGTGTCGGACAAAAGGTGGACCATGGATCCAGGCTGGTATTACTTCCTGGGGGGTAGGGTGTGCCGAGCCTTCGTATCCAGGTGTCTACATCAGGGTCACAGACTACCTCGACTGGATCTACAAGCACCTTGAGAAGAGCTCTTGACTGCATTGAAGAAATTCACTTTACAATTAAAGCAGGTATAAATGTACTGTACAGTAATTTGTATATTTTTAGTTATATGATGTGAGAAAAAGATTAAAGTATCGTAGTAGCAAATTTTGTAATATTGTATTATAGAATAACTGACCTGTAAGATAAGATTGCTGAAGTAGATTTTGAAGCAGAGCAGTGTTCATTTTTTTTTCAACTATCCTCTTTAGAGTTCTTGCACTTACAGAAAGTAATTGTTCTTAGTAAATACTTTCTTTATCTCAATTCTGTTTGCATGAAGACACGTCAAATTTAGTAGTTCTCGAGTAGCTGTTTAGATACCAACTTAAAAATAAGAAAAATGTGTACTGTATCTAGAACAGCAGAAAGTAATATTATGGAGTCATTACCTAGAGGTACGTATAAGATCTTATTTAACTGAAGTAGCAATGAGAATCATTTTGCCAAATATGGGTCATCTTGGAAGAATAAGTCCGAAAAGAAGGCACCCAAGCCAGGGAGACTATTAGCGCCACCAGTGTCACTGGATCTTGGAAGAATAGGGATAGTTATAAATGTCAAATTGAATTATTTATATAAACAGGAGTATAATACTGTATGAGTAGATGGAATTATGAGAACGCCTTTTCATGTGGCGTTAAGTGCTGATTTCAGCATTGTAAGCCCTATTGACTTATTTTCTTGGTTACTCAGATCACTGAATGTTAGTCAGTCATTAACTGGATCAGAATACTGTATTGCCTTGTTGGCTACTATTATTCCAACTGTTGATATACCTATATATTTTGTTTTATATCAACTGTGTAATAACATTGAATAAGTGTACCACAGATTATAAGTGTACCTTAAGTGACCGTGAGTAAGACTGTAATAGTGATGAAAGCAATAATTTAATGATTTAGGACTTTTTTTTTAAGCTTTTATTATATTTAAAACTTACGAATGTGGCTTGACATTGATTGGAACTTCAGAGCAACAGACTGTCTTCTAATCCCAGTATTGTATACAGTGCTCTATTTTAGGGTTGATAGAAAATATTTTATTATTTTCATTGTTTTTATAATTAAAAAATGAGCAGACTGCAGTTTTTGTAAATAGTCTAGAAATGTATGTAACTACAAAATTGAAGATAAATTTATTATCAACCCACCATTACATTAGTGGTCAAGCCTGTTATTTTTTGTATTAATATTCTCAAGAAGATTTACAGTGGAACTTTAAGACATCCATGTTGTAGCAACAGACATTTCTGCTTCAATAATACTGATCTTGAGGACAACAACAAATAACTGATGTCTTTACACAAACTATGCACGATAAAATTATGAATATAATTTTATGACTAAGAGTAATAATTCTTTTATACGAATTAATAATTTATTAGTATTTATAAGAGAAATAATACAAGATTAATAGTTGTAAATCTTTGAATTAAAATGTATATAGAAAGATAATTACTCAATATTTACTAGCCATTAGGTTGCTTTTTATACGTGTTGCTTTCAAGCAATATTTAAAAAATGAAAGACAAAACTGATTAGGTTTTTGTTTAATTATAAAATGTTTAACTCAAATGACCTATTAAGCAGGACTCGTAGTGCCACATTTATAATGTACTGAATAATTGCTTTGAAAATGAGTATGTATTAAGGATGTTTTGAACATAATAGATTTCAGAATACAAGTGTATAATTGTGTGCTATTTTTGTAAGTAAAGTCAGTACTACTGTACATTAAAATAGAACACAAATTAATGTACTTTACAAATACTGTATTTAATGAAGTGTATATATATTAGAATTTTAGCACAACTGTTGCAATGGCAATATTAGTTATTTTAAGGTAATTAAAACTAGAAATTCATTTTTGTTTGGCTAATTACCATTATTCTTCATAGGGTACTTAACTTTATATACAAAAATATTTCAATCTTATAAAATTTAAAGCGAAATTAACGTTTTATTTTGGTAGGTTGAGCACGCGCAATATTCTTTGCATAATATTAGTTAAAGATTACCAACTGAAATAAATGCCCAACCCATATGGCTTGTAATAGTTGATTAAACATCGAAGTAAAACTGTAAAAATTAAGTAAAATAGGATCGAACTCGCATCTCTAGCATTGCCCGAGGCAATACTCTCCTAACATCACTCTGCAAAAATAACAAATGTTGTACTAAATATACCTGAGGTTTGAAAATCGCCTACCTGCTACCCACAATCAAATTTTTACATACTACCAGCTGATAATTGAGTGGGGGTAGTCAGTTTCTTCATCTCCTTATCCTGTCATTATAAAATGAATTGCCAAGATACAATGTTATAATATTGCTACTACCACCATAAATGGGATTTTGGGTACAAGCTACACGCTTCCATACACCAGGTATATTTAGTATAACAACTAGTAACTTTCAATATAAGATATTTATATAAGATATACCACTCGCCTACTGGCGAGCTATGTATAGGATGTCAGGGATTAGAGTTCTATCCCATCAAATTGCATCAATATTTTTATCTGTATGGATAAAAATATGTATGCATGCTCTCCAAATTACCCACTTGATTTTAACCTATTTTCAAAGTAAAATTATTAATATTTTATTATATTCAATACCAAAACAATTGAAGCACATAATACTACTGCATCAAACTCTGCCAATGCTTTTCAAAATTAATCAAAATATTGAATATCACTTTTTATAAAAAAATAAGTGATATCCAATTATAGTATTTACAAAATAATAAATTAAAATGATTTTATTTTACTATTATTGTCATCCCTCTTTTTGGAAGTCTCTATCAATTAATATTGTAATGCCTGTAAATACAGTAATTATAACAACCTATAAATTAAATTTAAAAACTGCAGGGGGGTTTGGGCAAAATATGACCCATCGCCGTTTTCAGTTATTGGCAAATTTTCGGTATAAAAAGTCGTAATTTGAAACTGAAAATAGGTGCAGAGAGCCGGAATTCGGATAAAAAAGCACGCTCAGGAGTCAAATTTCCGACATTTCAGACATTTTAAAAACTGCAGGGGGGTTTGGGCAAAATATGACCCATCGCCGTTTTCAGTAATTGGCATATTTTCGGTATGAAACGTCGTAATTTGAAACTGATATAGGTGCAGAGAGTCAGAATTCGGCTCAAAAAATCACGCTCAAGAGTCAAATTTCCGACATTTCAGACATTTTAAAAACTGCAGGGGGGTTTGGGCAAAATATGACCCATCGCCGTTTTCAGTAATTGGCATATTTTCGGTATAAAAAGTCGTAATTTGAAATTGAAAATAGGCCAATATTTCTTCAGTATTTTTACTAAATGGTTTATTAGTTCATTAACATATTGGATATATAGATTGATTTATTAACTTTTTATTTCAAGGTGCAAAACTATACCTTAGAATTGATCCAGGGGTTTCCTTGGGTCCCTAGATTGATCCAGGTGGTCATTGGGTACCTAGATTGATCAAGGGGGGTCCTTGGGTTACCACATTGTTCAAGGGGGTCCTTGCATCCCTAGTTTTATCCAGGGGGGGGAAGGGTAATTGGGTCCCTAGATTGTTCCAGGAGTCCTTGGATCGCTAGATTGTTCCAGGGGGGTCCGTGGGTCGCTAGATTGTTCCAAGGGGTCCTTGGGTTACCACATTGTTCCAGAGGTCCTTGGGTCCGCAGATTGTTCCAGAAGGATCCTTGGGTCCTCAGATGATTACAAAAAGCGTTTTTGGGTACGCAGATTGTTCCAGAGGGTTCTTTGGTTCCATATATTGTTAAAAGGGGGTCTTTGGGCCCTCTAATTGTTCTAGGAGGGTCTTTGGTTCCCCAGATTGCTTCAGGGAAAACTTTGGGTCACCAGATTCTTTCAGCGGGTTCTTGGGTCCCCAGAATGTTCCATGGGGGCTCCTTGGGTCACCAAATTGTTCCAGGCAGAACTTGGGTACCCAGATTATTCTCGGTACCAATTATTTCTTCACGTGCAGAGGGAATGTGACGAATAAAAATAATCTCTAATAAAGTTGAAATAAAGGTATATCTGTTTTCATTATTATCCATTTATAGTTAAGCTTATTTAGATTTTTATTACATGTTCTTCTACTCAATTTACTCTAACATATCTTGAGAAAAGAACATGATTTGTTGCATACTTTGGATGGCTGTATCACGTTAAATATTGCTCTAATTGCTTTGATATTCAATATTAGCAAAGAAAACCTTTACTAAAAGAAATGTAAATGAATGTGGTAAATCCAATGGTAATGTTTTCAAAGTGATTCTATGGCTGGTTTTGATTTTGAGTTTTGCGAAAAATGACGATTTCGGCGAGGTGACGGTTCTCTGCTGACGACTGGTGGTGTGGCCAGGAATTGTGGCCTGAAGGCACGAACTTTTCTGCCAATATTTCTTCAGTATTTTTACTAAATGGTTTATTAGTTCATTAACTTATTGGATATATTGATTGATTTATTAACTTCTTATTTCAAGGTGCAAAACTATACCTTAGAATTGATCCAGGGGTTTCCTTGGGTCCCTAGATTGATCCAGGTGGTCATTGGGTCCCTAGATTGATCAAAGCGATCATTGGGTCCTTAGATTGATCAAGGCGGTCATTGGGTCCCTAGATTGATCAAGGGGGTCCTTGGGTTACCACATTGTTCAAGGGGGTCTTTGCATCCCTAGTTTTATCCAGGGGGGGAAGGGTAATTGGGTCCCTAGATTGTTCCAGGAGTCCTTGGATCGCTAGATTGTTCCAGGGGGGTCCGTGGGTCGCTAGATCGTTCCAAGGGGTCCTTGGGTTACCACATTGTTCCAGAGGTCCTTGGGTCCGCAGATTGTTCCAGAAGGATCCTTGGGTCCTCAGATGATTACAAAAAGCGTTTTTGGGTACGCAGATTGTTCCAGAGGGTTCTTTGGTTCCATATATTGTTAAAAGAGGGTCTTTGGGCCCACTAATTGTTCTAGGAGGGTCTTTGGGTCCCCAGATTGCTTCAGGGAAAACTTTGGGTCACCAGATTCTTTCAGCGGGTTCTTGGGTCCCCAGAATGTTCCATGGGGGCTCCTTGGGTCACCAAATTGTTCCAGGCAGAACTTGGGTACCCAGATTGTTCTGGGTACCAATTATTTCTTCACGTGCAGAGGGAATGTGACGAATAAAAATAATCTCTAATAAAGTTGAAATAAAGGTATATCTGTTTTCATTATTATCCATTTATAGTTAAGCTTATTTAGATTTTTATTACATGTTCTTCTACTCAATTTACTCTAACATATCTTGAGAAAAGAACATCATTTGTTGCATACTTTGGATGGCTGTATCACGTTAAATATTGCTCTAATTGCTTTGATATTCAATATTAGCAAAGAAAACCTTTACTAAAAGAAATGTAAATGAATGTGGTAAATCCAATGGTAATGTTTTCAAAGTGATTCTATGGCTGGTTTTGATTTTGAGTTTTGCGAAAAATGACGATTTCGGCGAGGTGACGGTTCTCTGCTGACGACTGGTGGTGTGGCCAGGAATTGTGGCCTGAAGGCACGAACTTTCCTGCCAATATTTCTTCAGTATTTTTACTAAATGGTTTATTAGTTCATTAACTTATTGGATATATTGATTGATTTATTAACTTTTTATTTCAAGGTGCAAAACTATACCTTAGAATTGATCCAGGGGTTTCCTTGGGTCCCTAGATTGATCCAGGTGGTCATTGGGTCCCTAGATTGTTCAAGGCGGTCATTGGGTCCTTAGATTGATCAAGGCGGTCATTGGGTCACTAGATTGATCAAGGGGGTCCTTGAGTTACCACATTGTTCAAGGGGGTCCTTGCATCCCTAGTTTTATCCAGGGGGGGAAGGGTAATTGGGTCCCTAGATTGTTCCAGGAGTCCTTGGATCGCTAGATTGTTCCAGGGGGGTCCGTGGGTCGCTAGATCGTTCCAAGGGGTCCTTGGGTTACCACATTGTTCCAGAGGTCCTTGGGTCCGCAGATTGTTCCAGAAGGATCCTTGGGTCCTCAGATGATTACAAAAAGCGTTTTTGGGTACGCAGATTGTTCCAGAGGGTTCTTTGGTTCCATATATTGTTAAAAGAGGGTCTTTGGGCCCACTAATTGTTGTAGGAGGGTCTTTGGGTCCCCAGATTGCTTCAGGGAAAACTTTGGGTCACCAGATTCTTTCAGCGGGTTCTTGGGTCCCCAGAATGTTCCATGGGGGCTCCTTGGGTCACCAAATTGTTCCAGGCAGAACTTGGGTACCCAGATTGTTCTGGGTACCAATTATTTCTTCACGTGCAGAAGAAATGTGACGAATAAAAATATTCTCTAATAAAGTTGAAATAAAGGTATATCTGTTTTCATTATTATCCATTTATAGTTAAGTTTATTTAGAATTTTATTACATGTTCTTCTACTCAATTTACTCTAACATATCTTGAGAAAAGAACATGATTTGTTGCATACTTTGGATGGCTGTATCACGTTAAATATTGCTCTAATTGCTTTGATATTCAATATTAGCAAAGAAAACCTTTACTAAAAGAAATGTAAATGAATGTGGTAAATCCAATGGTAATGTTTTGAAAGTGATTCTATGGCTGGTTTTGATTTTGAGTTTTGCGAAAAATGACGATTTCGGCGAGGTGACGGTTCTCTGCTGACGACTGGTGGTGTGGCCAGGAATTGTGGCCTGAAGGCACGAACATTCCTGCCAATATTTCTTCAGTATTTTTACTAAATGGTTTATTAGTTCATTAACTTTTTGGATATATTGATTGATTTATTAACTTCTTATTTCAAGGTGCAAAACTATACCTTAGAATTGATCATGGGGTTTCCTTGGGTCTCTAGATTGATCCAGGTGGTCATTGGGTCCCTAGATTGATCAAGGCGGTCATTGGGTCCTTAGATTGATCAAGGCGGTCATTGGGTCCCTAGATTGATCAAGGGGGTGCTTGAGTTACCACATTGTTCAAGGGGGTCTTTGCATCCCTAGTTTTATCCAGGGGGGGAAGGGTAATTGGGTCCCTAGATTGTTCCAGGAGTCCTTGGATCGCTAGATTGTTCCAGAGGGGGTCCGTGGGTCGCTAGATTGTTCCAAGGGGTCCTTGGGTTACCACATTGTTCCAGAGGTCCTTGGGTCCGCAGATTGTTCCAGAAGGATCCTTGGGTCCTCAGATGATTACAAAAAGCGTTTTTGGGTACGCAGATTGTTCCAGAGGGTTCTTTGGTTCCATATATTGTTAAAAGAGGGTCTTTGGGCCCTCTAATTGTTCTAGGAGGGTCTTTGGGTCCCCAGATTGCTTCAGGGAAAACTTTGGGTCACCAGATTCTTTCAGCGGGTTCTTGGGTCCCCAGAATGTTCCATGGGGGGCTCCTTGGGTCACCAAATTGTTCCAGGCAGAACTTGGGTACCCAGATTGTTCTGGGTACCAATTATTTCTTCACGTGCAGAGGGAATGTGACGAATAAAAATAATCTCTAATAAAGTTGAAATAAAGGTATATCTGTTTTCATTATTATCCATTTATAGTTAAGCTTATTTAGATTTTTATTACATGTCCTTCTACTCAATTTACTCTAACATATCTTGAGAAAAGAACATCATTTGTTGCATACTTTGGATGGCTGTATCACGTTAAATATTGCTCTAATTGCTTTGATATTCAATATTAGCAAAGAAAACCTTTACTAAAAGAAATGTAAATGAATGTGGTAAATCCAATGGTAATGTTTTCAAAGTGATTCTATGGCTGGTTTTGATTTTGAGTT